TTGACCCACCAATGAGGATTCTGTTTTCAGTTGCCTTAACTTCAAAATGAATGCGATGAGCCAGCAAGTTCCTATGAAAAATCAAAAGCAAAAATCAGAAAATTACGCTGCGGTATTAAATTCTGGCGACCGTGTAAATGGAAAATAAAAGTGCTAATCATCAGAAGACAAGGTTACTTCTTATCTATTTTTAAACACAAGCTTTAAGAATATTTTTTGGGTTGTTCTAAACTGAAAAACATATATCAGAGAATTGAATAAAAATAAATGCATCTTGAAGTTGTTTAGACAAACACATTAGCTAGTCCAAATTTTAACCAGGTGACAGGGTACATAAGCATGTATGTTTAATACCATAATACAGAGCTCGAAAATCACAGAATAAATGAAACTATCGCCAAGAGATAAACCATTACGTCTTCGAAGTTGCGACAAAGTTAAAGCTTAAAGACGCGAAAGATAGCGAGATGTGCAAGCTAAAACCGAAAAACTGTCAACGCGAATTACTGACACATTTTCGCAGAAAGGGTGCAGCAAGATGGGGGTGGAAAAAAGGGGGGAGGTGGGGTGGTTGGAGCGCATTGATAGTAATTGCAAGCAGCATGCACAATTGCAGCTCCTCGCTGGCAGCTTACGAGAAACGAGACGCGTAATAAATCCATAATCCAAGGCGACAATTTGAATCATTGCGCTGTAAATGCGATGCGCTTTCTCTGGGTGGTGGCAAGAAGTGGGTGGTGCAGCGTGGTGCATGGTGATGCAGTGGGTTCAGGGGTCACAGCTGCAGGCATTCGAGCAGCAAAGACAAGACAAGACAGTTGCAGGGCTGCCACTCCTTTGCCATTGCCTTTGCCTTTGCCTCCTTGCTGGCCTTTGTTTTATTGCATTTCACTTTGTCTGGCTTTGGGTGGAAAGCTTGACGCCAAGCCCATTTTTGTCCTTCGCCCCTTTTCCGCCCCATGGAAAATTGCATTTTCGCGAGTTCACTCTCATCCCACCCACTTTGCCCTTTTCCCACTGTGTTTGTCTTTACCATAGCAGTTAAAATAATCATAATAAAAACAAAATCCAAGCGCACAAGCGAGCTGAAATCCCCAAAAAGAAATGTCAACATTTGCCAGCCAAGTGCACTTGCTCCGGCTTCAACTTAAGCAGAAGCAGAAGAAGGGGCATGAAGACTGTCTCCCAGGACTTGTCTGTCGGCTTAGTTACCAGTTATCTTAATCACAGCTAAACAATCGATTCAATTTGAACTTAATAAAGACTTGCCCGAAAAGGTTGGTCAAAAAGATTGACCCACAGTCAGAATGGATATGTGTCTGCCAATCGCTTGATATACAATTGATATTGCTTCAAATTAACATCACGGGAAAATGGCCTGAAAATGATTGACACACAAGATGTCAAAGAAAAAGCATTTTGTTTTTATGATTAAATATCCAAAAGTGTTAACAATCTTAGTGCACGTTTGGGATAAGCATTTTACAATATAAAAAAATAAACAAATGCAAAAACTGGGCCACGTAACATAGGACCACGTATATATTGGGTCACAAACTGCGAAGATTGACGGAACCAGCTCTAATGATGTGCCTCGAGCTTAATCCAATATGCACTGGATTATTGGGCGTCGCATTTGCATATCGTATGGCACCCATGTGCCTCGTGTGTGGTCGCATTTAATTAATACAGCTACACATTTGTTGCAACAATTTGGCAAACACATTTCCTCCTGCTGTTTAGCCAGCATATTTCCTGGGCACAAAACTGGAGAGCATAACGGATTGACATATCGTGCGAATGGCCATTGAACCCCCGACCGACCAAAGGTAATCACAACAGCGACATGACTTATTCAGGACCCAGACCCCTGAACACACACTCGCACACCCGCACACCCGCACACAACGTTACGGCATTAGCTATGGCTGTATAATTAGCCCAATTTGGAGGGCAACGGAGGCACCCTCTTACACAGGCCCAAAAATTATTGAATATGATATGATTATTACTTTGACGATTTCTCATCATGTGAGGTAAAATGTACAAATATTTACAATTTTTAGTTACATTTTGTTTTAATGCGCTTTGAATTAGGATAACATTCCATATTATTTTAAAGATTATTAGATTATTGTATTCTAATTCCTCTATCACTTATTCTAATAAAGCAAACATTTTAAACATTGCTAAATAAAAAGCTATATTTCGGGGTAATATGTTAAGAAACAGACGGACGGACATGGCTAAAGCGACTCCCTTGTTGATCAAGAATGTATATACTTTTTAGGGCTTTAACTGCGTTGCAATCTTTTTACTGAAATTGAAATACTGTTTCCAGGGGTATACAAATCAATACCTAAGTAAGCTTAAAGGTAGCAACTTACCTTTTATACATTGTTTTTCAGTGTATCTTGGCTGGGCAGTCGTTAGCGTATTTCCATATGCCATGTTCGCCTCTCGTCCGGATTCGGAACATAAATGTTCTGTCTTGTCGTCCTGCAAAGCAGGGAGAAAAGTGAGCTGGCCGTGTCTGTATGGATTATGAATTGGGCATTGGGGCAAGTGTCAGATTCGGGACACTTTGTCCGGTCAACCTATTTGTCCTTGGCTGATTTGAGTCTTTGGCACAAGGAAATGTCTCTCTTCAGCAGGCAAAGTTCTCCTTTGGATACGGGCCCTTGGGGTTGAGTGATTACCTAGTGTCTCGGGGAAAGAGCTGAAAAAATCAATAGGTTTATTATAGCTCCAAACAAGTTTCTGTGATTTGACTAGTTGAACTAATTAATTATTTTAATTTTTTTAGTTTTATCATTTAAGCAAACGAAAAATAGAGATAATATATTCATAAAAGTTCCCTTTTTAATTAATCGTATTTACTATTTTTCTTAGAAAAACATAAAAGTCTAAATTGTCTGATTTACAAGCATAGACCTATTAAATCCCTCATGTAGTGCTTAGTCTGGGATCATCTGGACTTAAGCTGCTGAGTTGGAATTATGGTGTATTCTCGATACTTGCTGGCTTTCAGTATACTCCAACAACTTTAAGGCCCAAAGGAGCGTACATTAAAGCTCTTGGAAAACCTCTTAGCAAAGCTTCTCTGCATCTCCTGAATTTCTTTGCTTTTCGGCTGTGTATGCTAACTAAAATCAAGCCGCAGCCGACTATTTTGCATAAGCAAATAAAAGTAAATAAATTGAAATTCGTCAGCGCCTGGCTGCCTTTGCCTCCATATATATATATACACACTCAGAAAAACAAATGTGGTGTCTAATTTAATAGTATATAATTTGTGGCATTTGACATACTTTATATCTTTCCAAAAAAAACACAATGGGTAATGAAATGATGTATGAATTTGGGTCTTATATGATTTTGTGGTATATTTTTTCTGTGTGTATATAAGTATATTCCCCTGTGCATACAACACGCATGTAAATCGACGCTTTACAACACAAATGCCACCTGTGGTGCGCCCCCTCTGCACCACCAGTCTATAGTTGGGGTAGTTGGCAGCTTAAAGGTAAATTTGCTTTTGTATTTTTTTTTTTGGCCACATCGGAGGGGTTTATTGGCTGCACGGAGGAGTATGATTGTATTGGCTTGCACCTAACAGGGCTTAAGTTTTGATTATTTAAGTAACTTATGCTAAATTAAATATCTGCTATTTTTATGGCTGAACTTTCGAACACTTTTATTATATCTTCGATTGTGAATAAGGTGTTTTTTCTTTTCGACAATGCCTAAAAGTGTGCTGCAGAATGTGGGTGAGAAATTGCAGGTATAGTTTTTGAATGATTAGAGCTAATTCACATGATCTTCAACGAATGGTCCTTTCCACTTCATATTAGAGATTTAAATTCTAGAGTTACCCATAGTCGGATTTCCTGCAAAAGTTGTCTACGTTTGTTATTTATAGGGAAGAAAGAGTAGCATGTACCTTTTGGCAATTGGTATCCGTAAAATGGGCGTCGTGGTTTCACTCTGCATATTTACAGATTTTCCGTTTCGTTTTATTGGCAATTCCATTGTTAAACATTGAGCTCATCCGCAAACCCCCTCCAAAACCGTGTGTCGAATCGATTTTTCCTGAAGGAAAGTGCTTCCCTTTCCTACTTTTCTTCCTCTAATGAGTCCGCAACTACCACTAGCAATAAAAATCGTTAAAGTGTTTAATCAATGGCTTTGCCTCCTTTGCACAATGGAATGAAATTGAGTGCCATAAATCAGTGGCAAAATATAGGTGAGCTCACTTCTATGGCCTGCAGCCGGAAAAACCACCTGAGCCTTGACCTTTCAATGTGGGGTCAACGATTGGCAACTGAACTGCCGTCACCAGAATATTTTGTAAATACAAAAGGCGAGCTTTGAGTGAAATTAGAAGGTACCAAAATAGGTACAACAAGGCACAGAAAATACATTAAGCACATAAAACCCAATCGAATGGAAGTAAAGTGGCCAAGAACAACAACAAAAGGAATTCACTGCCAGAGGAATTCACCTGGCTCCCCCTTATTTGGCCACCCAAAAGCAGTCACAATAAAATGCCAACTGCCAATAAACGTCAATAAATCAAACAATTGAGCACGGCCAAGTTTTGTGACGGCGTGCGCCAAATAAGTCCAGTCCAACGTTCGATACCCAACGTCCAAATGTCCAAATGTCCCATGTCGCATGTCCCAAGTCCCATGTCCGCTGCCCAATGTCCCATGTCCGTTGTAGACCCGAACAAAAACAACCAATTCCCGAATGCTCCAATGGAAACTGGACCTGGTGAAAAATAGGGAAAGGGGAAGCTTGCATCCAGATATGAAGATATCCATTGGCAAAGCATGAATATGTTTAATCAATGCTCTGGCATTTAACAATGGCTTTGCATTTTCTAAAATGGTATATACTTATCGATGATAGTTCTCCCTAATAAGTTCATATATTCTTCAATTAAGAGTGGGAATAGAAGTTAAGTCAGACCCACACCAAATAAATTCATTCTCCAATTTGAAATGAATAAACAATCATTTGAATATATATTTTTTCGCTTCACAAGAGCAACGTTACAACATGTATAAGGAAGACTTGACTGCAGATTTGGCATCCGATTGACGTCTGAACGAAGTATAATGGATGTGGGAATGTTCGAATGGATGGTTGTTAGCGGGTGGATGATTGAATGTTCTTCGGTAAAAAAAATATACCTAAAATAACTAAAATGTGACCTGGGCTTGTCAGTTGGGTTGAATTGGGTTAACTATAGGGTATATATTGACTTGACGGTAGATCCCTGCTTGACCATGGTGTCTTTGTGGAGCTGATACTGCAGCACATAGGCACTTTCCATGCGCAGACCCTCGCGCAATTTGCGTCCAATCTCCAACACAGCCGCCTCCTTTCCCCCGTCTGCAGTCCAAATGGAGATCTTGTTCGACTTGCCGCGAATATTAACCACGGCACCGCACAATTCCTCCGAGTGATCACAAGCCGCTCCGATCAGACAGAGCATCGAGTCCATCCAGAAGTTGTCCAGATCCGTCTTGGTGTTCTTACTCAAACTGATGACCCAGCGACCCCCATGGACATTGGCCTCATCCTCCCACATCGGCCGAATGCCCTTCTTGAACAGACAGTAGTCACTGCCCATCTTGAGCTCCGATGGCGGCTTGATGTGTGTTATCAGGCTCCAGAAGTTCTCCACGGTATCGAAGCTGGTCACCTCGTGCAGCATATCCTCCCAGCTCTTGGTGCGATCGTTCTCCAGATACCACAGAGTCCAGCTGTTGTTCAGTGGATGGTGTGGTTCGTCAGGCTCGGTCGGTTCCACCTCGATGGATAGGTCGTCCTCGCTGCTTTCGCTCTGTGGCTCATTGTCCGGTGGAGCGACGAGAGTGGCCACCATGACAACATCCTTTTGGATTTGGTGATTGACAGCTGGCTGTGGATCCGGTTGGGGAATGGGTTTAACCATTGGGTACGTATTCTGGTAAATCTTCGGCTCTAGCATCCTATCCATAACCTTTTGCTCTGATAGTTTCCTTTGGATCTTCTGCTCTAACACTTTTTGCTCTGGCGTCAACTCATCCTGCAACTTCTGCTCGGGCACATTTCTCTTATCCTGCATCTTTTTTTCCGCCACTTTCTCGACCACATTTTTCTTTTCTGGTACTTTCTTCTGCTCCGGCACCCTTTGCTTCACTTGGAGTTTCTCTAGCTCCTGTACTTTGTCTTTCTCCTGGGTTTTCTCTTTCCCCTGGCCCATCTTATCCTTTGAATTTTCATTCTTGGCTTGATTCTTCTTGGCATCCGTGTGGCTTCCACTGCTTTTGCTCGTCTGACTAGGAGTACGAGGCACATTCTTTTGATTCTTTTTAGCCTTACTCTTATTCTTTCCCTGTTTTTGGGGTTCTGGCGGTGGGGTCTTCTTCGCGGTATTTTTCGGAGCTTGAGTCTTCCATAGTTCAGCTGCGGGTTGAGCTGTGGATTGAGCAGTGGATTGAGCAGGGGATTGAGCAGTGGATTTTTCAGTGGATTGAGGGCCTGCCGGAGCGGCTTCGGATTTCTGAAGGCCCTGTGAGGGATAATCATCGTTGCTGGCGCAGCTTTTGAACATCGTTTTCGGATTGGCAAAGTTCTTCATTTTGAAAAAATTGTTGGGAAACATGGCGGCTTGACTGGGGATTGGAAATATCTACAGAATTAAGTGGCAGATTATGTGGGAGCAACTAGAATACTCACTTCTACTCTACTCTAGTGTATTTTATTTTGAAAATGCCTGTACTGTGCTTGTGTTGTGTTCCTGACATAAGCAAACCTCAAACAAAACCTTTTGCCCAACTCGCTTTAATTGAAAACTCAACACCAACTTGTTTGTAAAAAAACCATTTGATCCAATACTAGTTTACAGCTTAATCTTTATACATGCATTAAAGCATACAGTTTTCTCTATACCAGTATTGATAACGATAAACTAAACCTCTAACGCAAGGCATTTCCAACTCTCTTAATGAGACAATCACGAAAAAAATTTCATTTTCCCCGCAAGGAGGTGCACACAGATTTTTCGAACGTGAGCTGAAAAATGTCTACAACTCTTGAAATGTTCACTTTGGAGGGGTCACGGAAGGGAAAACGTTCAAGTCCCAATGACCAACGAACGTGTTCAGAAGCTGCCAACTTTAGAAACAAATATTTACACACCCTTGGACTCCACGATTCGAATGGTTGCGACACCCCAAAAAAAATTGAGTGTAGGGTAACACACATCACGCATTTCTTATTAGCCTGGTCGTGGGAAGAGAAGAGAAAAGCTAAGCCAAGTTGTGCTTACTCCTTGGAAACTTGATGCCGTCCGACCGAACACGAAACCAAAATTCGGTTGCTTAAATCAGCACCGAAATGGGATACAAAGTAAATGGATAGAAGGCTAAAACTCAGATACAAGCTTTCCCATATTAGGTTTACATTTGTTTAACAAACGTTTGTTTGAAAAATATAATTTTTGTATGGGCGAAAAGTATTTTAAAATAATGAAGTAGTTCGTATAACTTATTTGTATTATACAATTTTCAATTTGCCTACACACTTCTTTCCCTTTTCAGACTAACATACGAATTAATTAGATCATATAATCATTAAATACCAAATAAAAGAATGCGTAATAAAAATTCTTCATATACACCCAGCTCAAAGAGCAGACGCTGAACTTTAACTAATGGCAACATTTTTTGTTTGCTCGAGTCGAACGTTATTGAGCCAAAGGAAAAAAAGCAAAACAAAGCAAGAGAGCAAACTTTCATTTGGCTTTGAATGTCATAAGTCGAACCGCTCGAATGAATGAATGAAAAATATCAGTTAGAAGTTGGACTCAAAATCAGAATCAAAAAAAGTGCAAATATTTGAGCTGGCCTAGACCTTTGACAGGCTTTTGGTCAATGAATTTATGACCATTTTCGATGAACCGATTTTGGCTCAATCTAATATACTTGTATGTGCTTTTGCCCCGAACGCGATTTTCAGCTGCAGATCCAGCGGCTATAGTCGGGATTTCGGGACCCCCCTATAAAAATTGTTCAAGGAAGAGGAGGAGTGAGCAGATTTTCCATTTTAAAGGCGCTGAGGGATCTCGTCCTTCACATTTACAAATGCGCTTTTAACCAAAACGGCAGTCCAGTGGGAGGGCGTAGGAAAGCAAAGCCAAAACTGAAACAGACAGTAGAAGAAGCTAAGGTGCACCGAGAAAAATTGACTCAAACGAAAACACTTCCTTTCTTACTTACTTTCTAATATATAACAGTATTTTATTTGATTACAATAGTCTCCTTATCATAATGAATTTGTTTTACAGTTTTATATATGATGTATGAAGCCAGGAATATAGGAAAATTTGCACCAATCTATTATAATATCAGTACAGTTCTTAAAATTATGCAAAACATCATACATATCTCCGATTTTGAACTTCTAACAAATGAATTTAGTAAATCAGATTAGATTAAAATTTTGTAATTAACAAGCAAGAAAAATATTGAGAATCTTTGCTTTTTCTTAGTGCACTCCAAGCAGTTTCGCTTTTCTCGGTTCTTGGCAAAGAATAACGCATTGAAATTTTTTATTTCGCCCAACTCCTCTCTCCTCTCACCCTATTTGATGTAAATATTGTATTAGACGGGCCAAAGTGTTGGGAAAATTTATTGGCAGCATATAAATCGAGGACTCGCCCTCAATGGGTTGTCGTCCATTGAAAAATTAAGCACTCCAAAGGTAAATATACACACTGCGAAAAGGCATTCATACAGTTGAAAGCAGAAGGTTTTCTTTCGCTTCCTGTGACCTATGACCTGTGAGCTGTCGCCGCTGGTTGAAATGTTCAAATGTTCAGCTGCCCGAAACCGAAAAACTGATGAAAATGCAAAAATGTTGTTCCCAGCTCTTTACCCTCGGCTGCTATGCCAATTTTAATTAACAAAAAACATGACCAGCTCCCTGTTGCGTTGTGTGTGTTTTGTTTAGCTCTGTTTTGTTTTGCTTTGTTTGGGTAGTTTGAACTTTGTTCAACGCTATTCTTGTATTTCGGTCGAACGAGATGGGGATAGTGGGGAAAATGGCATTTTGCCCCCAACTACGATCCGCTCAATTGCACTGGGCCAACTTTCTGCATACTTTCGGGGGTTCCCTGTAATCGGCAATAGCCAATGAAATTCGAGCTGATCGACAGACATAAGCTAAAGCGGGAGGGGTAGAAAAACGCCGAAGGAGACGTTCAGTATTAAAAAGCTATGGCTTGCATATATGTTCTTACTTTTACTAACAATACTTTCAATACTTTCCACGTTAAATTAAAACGTGTTCAAACTTACATTATTTGAGCATACGATTGTAACAAATAATATCATCTATGAGTATATCTTTAGCCGAAAAAAATGAATGGCAACATGTTGGTTTTGTGCAAAAAAAAAACTTGGATGTAAGAAAATTTTTCTATATTCGGGGTGGATTAAAACTGTCGATGATTTCAAAGCTTACTAGTTTAGATAAGCTAAACTACGAAATGCGAGAATAGTTGGCAAAAACCAATTGAAAACAAACCGTATAATCTTCTTAAACATATAACGTTTAATTTGGAACTTTGGCAATCTAATTTTTTTGGTGTGTACACAGATCAATTTTGAGATCGGACATCTTTATCATATATGTTAGCTGCCATAGGAACGATAGGAACATATGGACAACGAATGTTTAAAAACAGTGTTAATTATTTTTAATTTTTTTTTAGCAATCTTGTCGTTTGTTCTTTTGGTAGCTATATAATATAGTTGTCTAATCCGATAGAAAGAAGAGACATTTTAGAAATGGAAGGATATAGCTCGACCTGACTTACGAACATATACACATATACATAGTCTTCTTATTGTCTCATTCGCTGCGTTGTCAATTTTTGACTAAAATGATGCACATTTTAACATCTTTTGAAGGGAACTTAAAGGTCGAGTCTCCTACTTTTATTACTTGAATTGCATTTTTGGTGACAGTTGTGTGACGCGGCGCCATTGCCTTTCGTTTCCGGTTCTACTTTCGCTTGGGATCCGTTCTCCTTCCTTCTCTGTTTTCCGTTGGTTGCTTTTGAACTTCACTCGGATGCTCAAATATTTTCCTTAATCCCGCTGCCCGCTCCTGGATTAGTGTTAAAACATTTAATTAAAAAATTGTACCGAATTGTACCAGTAGCTTTTGTCGCATAATTTGCATGCCAACAACACTTTGGACAGTTTGCTCATACCATTAATTCGCCATTTGGCAAAATGATAATGAATATTTTCAGCTTTTCTAGCTTTTTGCCCAGGGTTCGGAGCTCTGTGCGTGTTTTTGTCCATACTTTTTCATGTTTACACATTCGAATGTTTTGCGTTTTGTGTTCTTGTGCAATGCAATTAATTAGAAGTGGATAAATGGAGCATGAGTGTTTGCAATTTCAGAGCGAAAATTAAATTAAAATCTATGTGCATTTTTGTCTTGCGAATAAAACGCTTTGAAAAAGTCATTCGAGGCTGAAATGCAAACACAGCATTTCAAATTCATCGAGCATTATGAAAATGCATAAACTGAAATTGAACCATAAATGCAGGCCAGAGCGGCGGACTTATCAATTGAAATTGCTAAATCATGTCAAATATTTAAAGAGTTGTTAACAGTTGCACGCACATGAAAAGGAAAAAAAACTGTGCATAATAAAAATTAAACAAAAAAAAATGTGCACATGCTTTTTGCCATGAGGCGTGTCGGGCAACAACGGGCGTGGCAGACCGCCCACTTGCAGCTCGTCCAACGGTTCGTGGCCAACTGAGCCCAACTTCCAGGATTTCTGACAACTTGCTCGGTCGAACAGCAGAGATGCAAAAATAACAGAGGCAACAAAGGAAACTAACAGTTGAAATCAAAAAATACTGTTGAGCTGCTATAAATGAATGGTGTAACAATAATGTTGTTCTTATATATAGCACTATGTTTACTGTTACCGGCATTATGTTTGCTCTATTGTATTTAACAAGGGTTAGGTAACTTTTCTGCAAAGCCATTTTTCGAAAAATTTGCAAGTAAATGACGAAATAAATATGATGAAAAATCGGCCCCAAAATACAAATAAAGTTCAAAACACAAAACACATTTTTAGAGAATTAAACCAAAATCATTTAGTAGTAAGCCACTTTAAAACAAGATTTCTGTAAAAAAAGTTATGAGCTTAGAGTCAAATCGGATAAAATTTGGAATCCAGAAGTCCAGTTGTGGGTCACCTTTTAACAACACCTCGGAAACTCACAGCGAACTAACATGAAAATGGGTCAATAAGTTGATCAACGATAAATTAAAAATTTTGAATGCAGATTTTTAGAGAATCAAATCACAAGTCTTTAAAGGTATGCCACTTTGAAATCGGAATAAATTTGGTAAAGTTATGGACTCTGGAAGTCCAATTGTGGGTCCCCTTTTTGCAACTCCTTGGAAACTCACAGATAATTAACATGAAAATGGGTCAAAAAGTTGATAAACGCTAAAATGAAAATTTTGAATGCAGATTTTTTGAGAATCAAATCACAAGTCTTTAAAGGTATGCCACTTTGAAATCTGAATAAATTTGGTAAAGTTATGGTCTCTGTAAGTCCAATTGTGGGTCCCCTTTTTACAACTCCTGGAAAACTCACAGATAACTAACATGAAAATGGGTCAAAAAGTTGATAAACGCTAAAATGAAAATTTTGAATGCAGATTTTTTGAGAATCAAATCACAAGTCTTTAAAGGTATGCCACTTTGAAATCTGAATAAATTTGGTAAAGTTATGGTCTCTGTAAGTCCAATTGTGGGTCCCCTTTTTACAACTCCTGGGAAACTCACAGATAATTAACATGAAAATGGGTCAAAAAGTTGATCAACTCTAATATGAAAATTTGGAATGCAGATATTTAGAGAATCAAAACACAAGTCTTAAGAGGTATGCCACTTTGAAATCGGATTAAATTTGGTCAAGTTATGGTCTCTGGAAGTCCAATTGTGGGTCCCCTTTTTACAACTCCTGGGAAACTCACAGATAACGAACATGAAAATGGGTCAAAAAGTTGATCAATGCTAAAATGAAAATTTTGAATGCAGATTTTTAGAGAATCCAACTACAAGTCTTTAGAGGTATGCCACTTTGAAATCGGATTAAATTTGGTAAAGTTATGGAAACTAGAAGTCCAATTGTGGGTCACCTTTGGGCAACTCATCGGAAACTTAGAAATAACCATGAAAATGGGTCAAAAAGTTGATCAACGCTAAAATAAAAATTTTGAATGCAGATTTTTAGAGAATCAAACCACAAGTACTTAAAGATATGCCAGTTTTAAAGTTAGATGCCTCGTAAATAGTGACAGTTAATTTTATTCTTAAAATAATAATACAAATTTTTCAAGTATCTGCTGTTGTAATATGTTTCGTTAACAAACAAATTATATTATAAAGAATATTTTCGGATAAACGGACAAAGCTCAAGTACTTTCCAGATCTTTTCACATCTACATCGATTTTTGAATAGTGCATACTTTAAATAAAATCATACGAGTAAAGCCTTAGGCTTTCACCACTGCATTCTTCAATTGCAGTTCATCCCGCCTTCGACGCTGTTCTAGAGTCTCTGCCAACTGCTGATCACTGGGCAGGAATCCTAATCTACGAAATCGGTCCTCAACTCTTGCCTGCAGATGGGGCTGAAATCGCCAGATACTGGCATCCACAATGGGATCCAACAGCTGGGACTCTAAGTCGGGTTCCCGGTAGTGCTGCATTTGGGCAAATTCGATAGGCACAGATTTAGCGGCACATGCAGATTGCTCGGTGTGGAAGAGGGTGAAGTGGTTGTGTAATCCAATGGCAAAACGCGTGTCATGCAGACACTTTGCTGCGTCCTCTCGATTGCAATGCTGCCGCACTCGCTCCACGTGCTGCAGCATATAAAAAGAGCTCGACAGATTCCTGTAGACCTTCGGACGTTCCGGATACCTTGGGTAGTAAACATTGCGGAAACAGAAGCTCACCCATTCAGTACAATTCGGAGGAGTGCGACTCTCATAGTCAGGGACAACTCGGGCCAGCTTCACTAGCTCCGGCCAAGTGGTGCGATTTCCGAGGGGCATTATCACCTCGTCAATATCAAACACACCCACGTAGTCATACTTGTACATATTGCGGTAGAAACAATCGTTGTAGGGTATTATCTCGTTCAGAATACGATTGAAACTATCTGCCATCATCGCATAGTGATGGAAATGAGGCCGAGCATGCGGTTCTCCCCTGCCCAAGGACATTGGACGCAGCTCCACAAAGCCAGGACTCGTGACCAAATAGTCCTTGACCACCCTAGTCATATTTTGGTGCATCTGGGCATCATAGAGCACCACTTTGTGGGCGCCCAACAAACGCATCAGTTCCAACCACTCGATCAAACGCCAAGACTTATCTTCATACGGAAAATCCATGGCCTTCACACATACCACAAATTTGGGACTAGTGGATAAGGAGGAAGTAGTCTTTTTTGGTACTGCCTTTGCTGACTCGTCCGTTTCGTAAACGACTCTTAGGAGGTTCCTAGCCATATCGCATTTTTTGGCCACCAAGGAAACCATCTTTGGCACCCCCCATTTATGACGACCCTCCGTCAGAGGACAGCTCAAAAATGTTGGGTAATAACGTCGAGGCGAATGACCAAATGGCCACATTACCTTGTGCTCCGAAACGGGAATAATCACTGGCTTAGCTCTGCCATCGAACCAAAATTGGCAGAAGATTTCGGGATACTGAAAAGAATCGTCCTCGTGCTGATTTATCATAGCTAAAAGACGAACTAAAGGTGCCTCGGGCACCGTTTCCCTTTCATCGTAATAGGCTGCAAATAGGTAATATGTGAGGTTCCCATTAGTAGCCTTTTGCCAATAGGTGTTGTGGAAATCAATGTTCATCATATCGGGCGCAGGTCCACAGTCCACTGAAGGTAAACGCATATTCTCCCTAGCCAGGAGTTCTTCCAGCGGAAACGAGGGCATCTCCTCACGAATCCACTCCAAACGCTGCTTCAGAGAGGGCACTAAAAGGGAAATCGGCCACAGAGCCGCTTCATAAAGCACCCTTCAAAACGCTCCTTAAAAATATTAAATTTATTAACTTTTTCAACCAATTTTTATATTTTCTTCCATCCTCTTAACTTGTATAAAAAGATCGAAACCGAAATCCAATCAAAAGATTTCCGTTAGAGCAAGAAAATATTAAGTGGGTTTTAAAAATTTGTGGATGAGGGTTTGTTCATGTTGTAAAGAATGGGTTTGTTGTTATCAGAAATAACATTTTTGAACAGGAGCTGCTCTTACCTTTCCGTCGATCTACCAGCAACTCATCAAAGATATTCACTTGCGGACGCCTGTGAATACGAGAAACGCCGTCGTAGCTGTGCCAATAAAGCACCAAAAGAAAGAGCAACTTCAGGAATATAATCAGAAATAAGACGCGGAACAGGCACGTGTAGCTCGACGACATTTCGGCCCTCTAGTAATCCGATGCTAGCCCCCAGATAAAAAATATCAGAGCCAAAACCTATACACAATTTTACAACAAACAAAGACAGCGACTGCGCTGCGACTGCACTGCGACTTCGCCGGCTGTTCTGAACTTAAGTCGAAATATTTGATAAAGCTGTTTTTTATAATTATGCATTTACCTGGAGCGGTAACCTTCTGGATGGGAACTTGTAAAGTGGAACTTCGAAAATATTGTCCCGAGAATTAAAGTCTGTTCTATACAATTAAGACAAAATTGTAATATTAATTTATTTGCCAATACAGTAGAACATCGAATTAAGGAGACTTCAAATTAAATAATTGCTTTTAACCAATTTGACTTTCTTTTGGAGCGGACTATGAAAGTGCCACCATAAACTTCAAGAGAATAAACCCCCACGATAGGTTTTTAATTCGAAATATGACTTTTTTTTAAGAATATGCAACGCACAAACCGGAAGCTTCAAGCGTCAGCGCTTAAAAGATATTTGATAAAAAAAAATATAAAAACAAGAGCCAAACCAATTAGTAGATCTGTTCGAAGTTGTTGGTTCTCCGAACAGACATAAAGAAACAACAACAGTTTGGATAAATATAAAAATATATGTCTTAAATTAGAATTTAAGATTGTTGAAATTTTAAAATGAAATTCCCTGGTTTTGACTAGAACAAGACGTCGCTCAGATGAACCCAAAAAACAGGCGGCAGGAGCGGAAGCTAAAACCAAAACCAAAACCAAAACAGAGACAGCAACCGAAACTCAAGCATACACACAAAACCAGCCGAGCGGAATAAGGCGCAAGTTCTAGGAATAACAAACAAGGTGGAGGCGATTCACGTGTGGCACCTTGGCAAGGATCCGCAGAAAGGTGCCGCAAGGTGTGCAACAGACACCGGGAATGAAAACCCAAACCCAAAAACAGGGTAAGGGGGCAGTACTGAGTGCACACGAAAACGCACCTGGGTGCAAATGAATGATGATGATGTTGCCACAACAGCCGCAGGCAAAAGCACCAGCCGAGACTTCTTTCGCAGAGTCTCGAACAGTGTCAAAAAATGGCAAAACCACGGATATTATTTTCGCGATTTACCACCATTTAGGTGAAAGCCAGTAATTGGATTGATCTAAATCGTATAAGTCTTAGCCAAAAACTTAAATACATTTGCATATAATATTATTTATTTTTCAATTAATGAAAATCTAACTTTTTTCACAACTTTCAAAAAGGTTAAATCGTAGCATATATACTAGGCAGCAAACACGGCTGGAAGTTGCGTTTCTTGGCTCATGTGTGGCAACCTCTCTTAAGCAAATTGCCAGCCTGAGCATGGCACGCCTTCACTTTGGCGCCCACCACACCCACATCTCCTGTAGCTCCTTCCTTTGTCTACTGCTTGCGGCTAGTGAAAGTCTACTGCAACAACTCCGCGCTCGAGTCTCCGCCCTGTTGCATTTCACTTAGAATGCTTTTAACCAAAACATTAAGCAGCTGGTGTCACATTATATCAGCGAGGCGGAGGCGAGGCTTAGTTGGCCTGGGAGCAGGAGCATGAGCAGGAGCCGCAGCAACATGCAACCAGCAACCAGCAACAGCAGCAAATTTATGGCCCGAATTAACCCCGAAACTCCGCCCACCGCCCCCCGCATCAGAAATGCTGTGGCTGACTGAAAACAAGCCACTCAGAAGGTCGGAGTTGGCTGGGAAGATGATAAGGGCCCCCCACTGGAGTGGCCTTTAATGATCTGAATTATTTCACGGAGGAGAAGCTTAGCAGCTGTTTTTTGCATTCCACATATTAAATAACTCATATCCTCATTCTAGACTCTCTAGATTAGTTGGCTTCTCAAAATGGTTAAGTGGTTAGTGCAGACTGCCAAGATCAAGAGATTAATATGAGCTAATTGTTACAACTCTTCCACAATAATTAGCTATTTGTGCAAACATGTTATACATTTCCCATTTATTACTCCTTTAAGTACTTCAATGTCCAAACAAGAACTCTCTTGCGATTAGCGCTACTATACTGAAATCTCAATTACTTAGAATGCCAACATTGACTTCACCACATGCATGCGGCATGGCATTAGGCTCAGGGAAAACAAGAACACAGCCCAATCTAACTGCACTAATTGAAAACCGTAATGGAAATAATAAGACAATTTAATAGGACCAGGGCAAAAATAATCCTGCCGGCTATGGTCCACCCACATTCAGAAGCAAAAATTGCAGTACGTCTGGTCTGTCAGTCAGTCAATCAGTCAATCAATCATTCGGCCTGAAAGGCAATGCCAAACGAATGCCATGGACTGCAGTTGGTAAATCTGACCTGGCTTTAACAACACACGACTGTAGCAGTACCAGCTGCACCTTCATTTGCCCTATTTGTTTATTAAAATTAAATTTTGCATAATAAACTATACGAAGAATGGATTCTGACTTTGTTTTTGCTGGTGCTGTTTTTACTCGGCTGCTGCCGCCGCCAGGCATCAATTTAGTTTTACTTAGAGCAGTCCGGCTTTGAATAATTGATGAAATCGTCCATGAAAAGAACATTCATGCACTTTAAGCAGATTTACTCGAGCATCGAATTAAAATGCCAGCACACACGGAGTGGAGTGCATTGACTGGCAACGCAACCCGCAACCCGACTCGGCTAGCCTCGTACTCCATTAATCACGGTCCCCCAGACAGGATGGCACATGCGGTCCAAAAGGCCAGGGCACACCGAACACACAGGACACACAGGAGTCCGAGTCCAAGGAGCTTAGACAGCGAGTCAGTAAGGCCAAGGCCACCTGCGGAGTGGACCAGCCGCTTTAAGGTCGGTCTTGAAATTGCAATAATAATCAGATGGCTCTACTTATCCGTTCACATGCATGGGATAACCACGTTCTCATAGCTGCTTAATTGAACTTGATTTAGTTTACTTTCCATATATTGTTTCGAATTCATTTCGGGTAATGTCTTAAGGAATAATACAAAAATGTTTTAAAACTATTCCATCTGCTTTAAGCAGTTTTGATGTTACTTTCTGGAGTATGAACACATATAGAAACCAATAAATAAGCTTATAGGATAGGAAGATATTTTATCGTCATTTCCTTGCCTATTAAATTAGGCATTTTCTGCCAAGCGCACCTAAGCTGTGTTTTATGTTGATTAATCTATTTATATGCCTCAAGTGCAGACCTTTAAGTCGAGTTCACCAGAGTGAAAGGGTCCCCTGATTGCTTTTGCATCCGCAACAAGGACAGGTCGGGGTCACCAGGACGTCGCCATCCTTCCATCTTAACCCTAGCCCATTTATTTCGCACTAATTTATCAGTTTTGTGGTCCACAGTTCAGGCCTCACTCTTTTGTTCAAAGGATTGTTGCAGTTCAGGACTTAGGATCTAATTCTGACTAACGGACAATGGACAACAACAACGGACAGTGGAATCTGTGCGTCAGTGTTGTCTAGCTGCAGGAGCATCATCAGCATGATTAATTGATGAAAATCCTTTTTGCCATGCAGGATAATAAATTACAATACCCGGCCAAACGGGCAAACGACGGACAGGTGGTATGGTGGCCAAAAGTAGGGGAATCGCAGACGTATATAGCATGTGTTGCAAATGGCCATCACACACAACTCTGATTTGGTACATGGGGGGGTGGTATGGCATATGCATGAGCTTGTGCCCGTGTATGTTGGCCTTCCTCTGCATTAAGTTAAACTCCACGGCGAGAACGAGTTCCTTTACCGATTTCACCGTACCCATTCCCTCGACCACGACGACGATGACGCGCTGCCTGTTTCCCAAATTAGCTTAATTTCATTTAAAAGGATACAGCGCTGCAAGCAGACTACGGTGTGGCACGTTTGATTCCGGGAAAGGGGGCACAACTTCGGGGCTAACGAAGAGGAAAGTTAACTGGTTCCGTATGGAATCCGGAATATTTAACTAGTTGCCAACAAGAAGAGCTGTTCATTTGTGAGTGAATTTATTTTGGATAGGTTTCCTAAAGCATTGCTTCAGATGTAGTAAGGTCTCACAAAGCCTCTCTATGTGATTCTCATTATCTTTGGGGAACGGATGCTGCTTATTCGGAAAGGAATACAATTTGGTCAATTTAGTATACCTCTAAGTAGTAATGGTTTGATTGTCTAACATTTTTCACTTTAAGGTTGGTCAGTTTTCTGACCCATTAGCTGTTTTAAATGGATTGGGGAAGACCGTAACTGCATTTTAGAGGCCTTTACGTGAGAAATTTGATCCTGATTGCAAAGTGAAACTCCTTTAAAAGTTTATGCTAAATTCTGCAATTATCTGCATATCCATTTTTCACTTTCGGTAAAAAAATAATGTCGATAGTACTCAAAGAGCTCAGATTCTAACATTCTAAAATTTTTTGGACAAGTGTTGATGCTTTGAAGGGTTAAATAAGCCTATCTCTGCGCTTCTCAATAGTTATAAAAAGTTCTCAAAGTTTACAAATTGAAACAAGAGATCGATGGACCCTAAGGATCTGGATGAGGGCATCAGAAGGTCGGAGGCTCTGCTCCATTCGCTTTCCACATTTTCACCGACGTTTTTCTCGTCCGTGTGCAGCCTGCTGGTCGGTGCACGTGTATGTGTTTATAATTCATTAGTTTGCTAAATGTATTTCCTAGCTTAATTGGGTAGTAAAGCACACGGACTAAGCTCATAAAGCAGCCAGCAAGGCAAACAGCAAGCTCTCGTTCCCCAACGAGTCCTTGACGATGGCTGATTAAGGCAGTCGGAAAGAAAGGCAGCTGGCGAGCAGGGAAAAGTGGGCGGAACAGCTGCAGATCCATTCACTTGTGTTCATTTGCGTGGGTGGAAGTGGAAGTTGCCACAAATTGCTGACCGGATTTGGAAGGGAACGAAACTCGGTGGGGCGGAAGAGAGGTCAGCACATTTGTTTTGCTTTATAAGCAGCTCATCGCTTGTGCAACTCAACGTCTGCGTAATAGTGCAATGCCACCCCACTGATTATGATTGTCCATTATTACAGCTCTATTCTCTATTCGCATTCGATGCATTAACAGGTATTTCTAACCTATTCACCCATTCTACTCAATTACTTCTTTGTCTGATATCCATATCTTCATAATCATACATTCCGGTATCAGTTTTATAGGTAAATGTAATTATTCATTAATCCTTTTATAAAAGCCTTTAGTCTCCTTTAGTTTCCATTTGGCAAAATCATCATAGAAGTATGCAGTATTCATTTTCTATAGTCAGATAAATAAGCATACTTTAAGGTCTTTTCAGTTGATTACTTGCAATTCCATCTTATCATATATTTTATTCTACCGTCTTAGTACAATATACATAGTAAGTGGGATTTTAAAGCTTTGCTACTCTGATCACTTGAGATTAGTGCTAGTTGGTTAAATTATTTAAAAATGCAACAGTAAAGATGCTTTCATATTATTTCTGTTACTCGTAGAGTAAAAAGGTATGATGTTTTCAAAATAGCAGACGATAAAGGCATGTCCGTCCGTCTGTCTGTCTTTCATTCCGTATGAACGTCGAGATCTCGGAAACTATACAACTATTCAACTTGAAGATTCTATTTAAGGGCATAGCAGAATTTGATAACACAGTATTTGATGGTCGTGGCACTCGTCTTAATCGTTCCTTCTTGTTTTGTATTTGCTTAAAGAACAAAAACCGTACGAGTATTTCATTCATGATCTAGATCGCTAAGAGCTTATCGGCCAGTTACGTCGCCGGTTTGCTGAACTTTGCCCACTTTGCTCGATGGGGATCGTTATGCGAACCGGTTTTACGTACGCGCTACGATAGTTTAAGTTGAATTCCCCCAGCAGCATTGAAGCAAGTGAGTAATTAAACTTAGTTATGTCCCAAGTCCAATCCAAGAGCATATGGAAAATCTTCTCCAACATAGAAATTATACATCCGCTTTGCTCTCCGATTCTTTCTTGGTGTTGACAAAGCGTAGGTTGCGACACAAGCCCGTATTGCAAAGTGCACTAAGTGTGGAATTATTATTAAGAAATCCATTGTCTAAACAATAAAAAGAGACGTAAACAAAGAGACACCTGAAACCGAGAACTGTCGAGCTATGAAAAAAGTTGCAATCGATCGGGGAACTGCTTGAGTTCTCGATCACCGACGCTTTGTTCTTAATTCTCATTCGGATTGTTGTTGCTGTGCGGTGACAGATTGCCGACTTAACTGAAATCGCAAACATGTGGAGTTCTCAACTGTCCGATACGGTATCGGCGATACCTTTAAAGTCAGGATCACTAAAACTAATGAAATCATTTTTTGGTATTCATGTTGTTTGGTGATTACATCATTAAATTTATCCACAAAATAAAGTTACAGCGGATATTTTTAATGCCAAGAAAAAAGACTAGTTTAGCTAGGGTAATTTTAAAGCTCATAACCAAATTTGATCTTACTGGTATTTGCAGAATTTAATTTATAAATAAACTAGAAGCTCTCGGTTGAGTTCGGTAAACAATATACCCCAATCACCCCTGGTAAACACCGGGTAAAATCCAAAAGAAACCGAGACCGCCGGCAATTGAGATAGCAGTCACATAAATAGTAGCCATATGTTGATAAGCGCTCTATATGTGAAGACTCATACCAACACTTAAAATATCGAGGAGGAAAAATTTGGCAAATTTATAATGCGGCGATATCTACTATTTAGGTTCTCTTTCCGTTAACTTCGCGGTAATGGGTACTGGCGAGGGATACGCTAGCCGTCTGCTAGTGAATCATTCACGTTTATCTACGATGTGTAATTCCGGAAAAGAAGCAGAGGCAGGAAAAAATTGTACTTTGCCTAGCTCCCAATACCCGCACAGAAACGGACTCGCACAAATGCTCGTACACACAGAAGCAATGGCCGAAGTGTGAATGATGTCACTGTCGTCGTTTGATTGAACAAAGCCGAAACGAAATCGCACAGTAGGCCTATTCCACTCAAAAATTGTAACCCAAAAATAATTCACTTCATGAAAGAATTCAATTTAAATATATATAAAGCAACATTATGTAGTTTTTCCGAACCGACTAAACTCATATTCTTGGTGGGCTGTATTATTACAACACAACTTATGTAAATATAAGCTCTCAATACAAGGTAATCGCAAAGGATCTTGCACCAGATTTTGTGGATTCGCTTGAAGTCACCTCGAAGTGATGCTGATCAAAAATATATATACCTTACAGGGTCGGAAGTCTCCTTCACTTCATTTAAAACTTCTGACCAACAATATAAACCCTATGAATTGTAAAAATACAATTTAATAAATAGTTCCTTGGAATTAAAAAACAATTTATTGAAAAAAATTGCTTTAAGAGTTACGAAGAATTGCGTTGACCAATGCAAATGAATAATTTGTATATATAGATTGGTTAATCAGCTCGAAATTCAAGAAAATATTGGCTTATTTGGATAAGTCAGGGTGAAGCCAACTAAGTTAGCTAAAGATAAGATATTGCATTTTCGGAGAAATGACCTCAGCGAAATATGGAAAGACTCCGATCTGTTTGATTTTCACTCAATTCCTTATCACTTTCGACCCACTATGTGGCGTCACCGCCGCTTGGATTGACGTTGCTCTGGAGCGTCGTGCCCGGGAGCAGTCGCTTTCATTCGCTCGCGGGCACCACTCAACCACAGTCGGATCTACAGACGGATCTATTCCCTTCGCGTCGCCATTATGAACAAGTACGGGATGTTGGCCATCTGCCTGCTGGCCGCCTTGGGCGCCCTGCTCCTGGAGGTCAAGGCCACTCCGGCGGGCACCGCCCCCTCCACCGGCAAGTTGGATCCCAGCCAGCTGGGCGGACTAACGGACCAGTTTTTACCGCCCGAGTACCGCAATACAAACAAGAGCTTGGGTGAGTTTTTGGAGCAGTGACATAACCACCAGCTGCTTTTTCCCATTTCTGAATAGATCCTTTAGAATGGTTTAGATTTTTTTTATTAGTTATCGGATTATCAGTTACTATAAATCGACAGTATGCTATTCGTTCAAAAAACCAATATATATTTATAGACAAGAACTTGAAGGTTCAATTATTACATAGACATTTTCTCCTTGGAAGTAGACGCGTTTATCTATGGTTTTTTAAATAATTTATTCTTTAATATTGTTGAATGATGAACGTATAATTTAGATGAAGTTGTGATAAGAGTAACTGTATTGGGTCTATTAATATTCCTGAAGAGCACCCTTCTTTAAACAAGAAACTATCTATAAATTTTATATCCCATACTGCTGCTACCGTAAGAATAATCCATTTAATAAGACATTTATATTTGCCCAAAAACACAAAGTCTTGACGCTGTACAGATATAGTTTAGCCTTTTATGACTAGAAATAATTTTGCAAGCTTATTTAAAATGTTTAGCTCTTTGAAAATAAAGATTTCCTTGAGCCAAACAATTCTTCAACATTTTAAGAATAAGAGGGAAGCGAAACTTAACTATTTCTCTTATCATTTCCCATTCCCCATGGCTCCGCAAGAGTATCCAAGTTTCTCACATCATTCCCCATCCACTAATATGCCTTTCTCACCTCTCCCAATAGATGAACTTAAGCGGATGTATCGCGAAAAGTGCAAGAAGGTGAATGGAGCGGACAACGCAACCTTATTTGCCGAGATCGAGCGGGCGGCGGCCAAGATGAGCAACTGCATCAACGGGGTGGCCAACCTGACCGGTCTGCAGGAGGAGATGGATCAGGCGAAGCCGCACGGCGACCTGGACACCGTGTTCCACAAGTACTGCCTGAAGGCTCCGGAGGCGGAGGCCTGTGTCAAGGAGTTCAACGAGAAGGCCCAGCAATGCCTGACCGCCGAGGAGAAGCATCACCAGGAGACGGCGACCCGAATTGGAGCGGGTCTGCTGGGATTCGCTTGCACGCGTGGCGGCGATCAGATTGCCCTTTTCGTTGCGGAAAAGGGACCCGAATGCCTGGACGCCAACAAGGAGGCCATAAATAATTGCTTCAATCAGTCCTTCAATCAGTATATCCCCAAGGATGGCCAACTTCCGAGTCTTATGAGCAGTCCAGAGCTCCTACTCTCGCCCAACCGCTGCGTGGACTTGCAGCGCTTCGAGGCGTGTGTCCTCCATCATTTGCAGCAGTGTTCCGAGATCACGCCCGCCAACATAGTTGAGTCCATTTTCCGCTTCGTGAAAAACGAGACCGATTGCAAGGCTTGGATGGAGTCCCGTGCCCACGACAAACCGATCCTGCTGGCCGCCTCCAGCAACAATACGGCTACTGGACTCACTGGCTTCATGGCCGGCCCTCTGTTGGGCGCAACATTGCTCTTGATGCGCCCCTGAACGCAAAACTTTTTAGGTGCTTTTTTTTTTGTATTTATATTTCTTTGGTTGCGATTGCGATAGCGATAACGAATTTTTTTGTTTGTGTGTGTAGAGAGGGTATTGAGTATCGGTACCATATAACTTAATGTGTCCTAAGAAATTGCTTATAATAAACCAGATTACGACAAACGCACGACCCAAATGAAACGTTCAACGCCCAACCAGCATATCGGTTGTCCGGTTGTCGCAATTTGAGGGTTATATGTATGACATGGTGTAAATGTTTAAAAGTCGATGAAGATATGAAAAAACTAGAAACTATACTGCCTCGGTACTTCCTATAACCTAGAAACCTTTTTTTTCTGGGGAATACTATTAAAAAAATTGAAAATAACATAAATAAACAAAATTATATTTTATTATATTAACAAGGGTAAAATTAAAATCTGTTGCTTACAATATTTCATTCTTGTCAATAACTTTTTAAAAATAGGTGTATTTAATATGATGCATATATTTTGTACATATATTCTGGTTTGAAAACTCTCAAATTTGTCAACAAAAATGGCCCTAAGACTTTGATCGATGACTGTCAAGCAGATAAGGCTTTTTTTGCAAACGTAAACCGCGATCTATAGATCATGGCATACTCTTGGGCTGACTTTTAGTTTATTCGCTGTGTGCACACTGGACAATATGAAATCCCACTTTCTTTGCCATACAACGTATAAAATGTCCAAGCAAATAAATTTTCTGCACTTAAAGAGTACTTATCCGACATCGTTCAGGTAAAAATTTATTAGATGTATGTCTTATATAATATTATTATTCCATTTTCGGCCCATCGTGCAGTGGGTTGAATTAAACAGCAGTACTTACCCAGTACTAAAAGCCGTAAAACTATTTGATATTATCTGATAAGCTTGCAGAGGAACAGTAAAAACAGCAACATTAACGGCAGGCTTATCACGAATGGGTTTACTTGACGAAATTGGGCAATTCTACGGCCACTGAATTTGGAGTATTTTTTATATTTTTTACCTTGAAAGGGGCACTATCATAGTCAAAGTATCTGCGAAGCTATCGCTGCTGAAATTGTTTCTGCAGTAGATATTCCGAATTTCGCCAAATTTTTGATTAGCGTCGACTGTAAGAGAGTTATGGAGAGTTCAATACATAATCGAAATGTATATTGTTCAATAGAATTCCTAATTAGAATTGTAAAATAATTATCGAATGTTGGAGATATTGGAAATCAACGTTGCGATAATAGAAGTTATGTTTAACATGAAAGAAAGCAAACATCGACGAGCCGAAGTTTATATTCCCTTCCAGCTGTTAAAAAAATAAAATATTCTATAAAACTACCAAACTTCGATTTTTATGCGTAAATGTTTAAAAACAATAAAGCCATGTCTATATAAATCCATATATGACGCACGATGCTGATCAATTATATAGTTGTATACTACTGAGTGAAATTATTATACCCTATACTTTTATACATTACTTTATACATTTGATTTAATAATTTCCCTGCTATTTTCATATCAATCTATTTTATGCCTGCCATAAAATAAAAACAATCGTGTCCTCAATTTTGTGTTTAATCTTAGCAGCTGGTGTTTTTTCTCCTCCATGTTTATGGGTTATTCCCGGAATCCAATTTCCGCGATGAACACACACTGACTTCTTCGACTTTTCCCCGTCGTAATGAAATGTGTTTAGAGTTAATGAGGCGGTTTCTGCAGGGGGTGAGAAACTTTCGAAGGGGTCGGGAAATGACGCGGTTGTGACGACCCCACTCCCCCGTCGATAAGGTTTTTGCATTGGGCCTCCAGTCCAGGAACAATCAATCACTGCAAATTTTGTGCTTATCACTACAGCGAAATCAGCTAAAAAACTACTCTCTAAACTTCTGGAGTATGATGGATGCATCACCTGCACTTGCAGGTGAAAAGTGACAGACACAGCCCGTTTAATTTTTAGCATACTGAGTATATTTTTCTCAAGACACAAAAATAATAAATTAAAAAAATATATATCATTTGTATAATCGGTTTTTCGACCATCAGATGCCCCGTACTCTTCTGGTTTCATTGACATTTTTCTAATTAAAAAAAAAGATTAAAAACCTAATTGGAATTTACTCATGTGAGTGTGAGGCTAATGAAGAGTAAACTGTCCGAAAAATATATAGATAGAGTGAGGAGCATATGTGAGTTCATACTGATAATTACTGACGGCCCATACAATAAAAACTAATAAAGCTAGGTAAGAAACCTTGTTTTGCCTTTTTTTTTTAGCACTTAGTAGTATATAACGATATAAAAAAAAATATGAATATGGGCGTCGAAAGTCAGAAACTACGAGTATGTACTCACATGGATGTATATGTATGCATATGCAAATCTTCTCAAAGCTTATAATCAAACATGATAGACTGGATCAGCAGACCCTTCAGCAAACCTTAACCTAAGATACTGGCACCGGACGAGCCTGGATGACTTGCTGGAGTGGCTGTAGCTCCCGGTCCAGTTCGTCGCCATCTTGGTCGAGCGAGTCCTCCAGCTGCTGCTCTTCGGGATCGCTGATCTGGGTCAGCACATCGTCCAGATGTAGCCACACGTACTCCACAGCGGCTCGCAGTTCGCCGGCGAATTTCCAGAGACTGCGATCCTCCACCAGATCGGTTTGGTTATACTTCGCATCGGGCTCCCTGTAGTGTTGCATTTGGGCCACCGAGGTGTCCAGGGTGCGGGGATTGCAGCCCCCGGGCAGCCACTTGAGGGTAAAGTGGTTATGCAGCGTTAGCGAAAGTTGGGCGTTGTGGAAACACTTGGTGGCCCTTCCTGCCTGAGAGTAGTTCTTGAACCGCTGCGTGTGCTGCAAGACGAACAACTCCCCGGCAATGGCCTGCTCCTCGTGATTGCTCAACTCGGAAACCACTTTGGTGAAGTACGAGTTTATGAAGCACAGCGCGGGAAAGCGACCCGCACATTTACCACCCTTTTCAGCCTCCAATGTATGCGCCTTCTGCACCAACTGATGCCAATTGCGGTTCTCACCCTTCGGTACTATCACCTCATCCACATCCACATTGACCAGATAATCGTGGCGATACAGATTCCTGTAGAAGCAATCGTTGTAGGGTATCAGTTCGTTTAGCCTCTTCTCCAGCTTCCTCTGCTGGAGCAACATGTGCTGGTAGTGCCTCAGCCTGGGCATTCCATTGGCCAGCGTCAGAGGTCTGAGTTCGAGGAATCCCGTTTGCTGGTAATAGTCCAGAACCCTTTGCACCGCCGGATGCACATCGTACATATAGGCATAGATTCTCGAAGCACCCAAAATTCTCTGCAGCTCGAACCACTCGATGAGACGTTCCGATAAGTCCACATAGGGAAAGTCGAAACCCTTGACGCAAACTCCAAAGTTTAGGGCGACGGTTTCAGTTACGTTTTGGCCTTTGCTGGTGGCGTTTTGAGCTGCCAATGGTGGTTTTTGGTTCACCCTCAATGAGTTACTGGCCTTATCGCAACGTTTAGCGACCAAAGATACTGTTTTCGGCAGTTTATTAATGACGGCCGGCGGCAATTCTCTGGGAATCGGGCAGCTAAGCAGGTGCGGATAGTTGAGGTTCCGTTTAAAGCCCCACGCCTTGACCCACACAGTCAGGTACTCCGCCACTGACACCAAAACGGGCTCTCGATGGCCCTCGAACCAGAGTTGACAGTGGGTGGGTGGAAACTGGTCTCCAATCTGATTGGCAGTGACCAAAATCCTCACCGTGGGCAGTTTCAACGCTTTCCTTTTGTCCAAATAGGCGGCATACAAACGAAAGGTCACGTTCGAGTTTACAAAACTCTGCCAGTAGATGTTGTGCAGCTGTAAATCCAGAGGATCGGGATACGGAGCGCATGTGTTGTTTATCTTGTAGCCCATGGGCTTGGCCCAATGGTACCAGAAACTATAGTCCACCTCAGGCAGTTCCTGCTCCAATTGTCGCACTAGCTCCTCCTTTATTGGCTCCTCCAGGTGTTGAACAATTGGTGGAGTTACCTTTCCCAGACCCGCACTCCCTTCTCCATTTCTGCCCAAGGCAGTGGTTTTTAGCTCATCCGTGTGGTGCAAAGCAACCAGGAGCAGGAGGAGCGTTAAGAAAGTCGCTGCAACCAGAACTTTAAGACGGACGAAGCCACCTCTTGTTGACATTATGCTCGAATGCGTACTGAGCAGTTGCGAGAGATTCCCGGCACCTCGGAACGCAATCTAATCACAGCGAGAGTGGCTGCGATGATAACCGCTTTTCAGCTGAATTATCTATGGCCGCCAGCAGGCTTTATCATGCAGCCGAATTTAGTGAAACCAATTCTATCGAAACTGATTACTCTAATAAGGAAAAAAGAAGAGCTGTTAACCAAAAAAAAAAAAACGACTGTAACACTTATCGAGCGTGTTTACAAATTAGATAAATCACTTTTTCGAAGAAATATCCCAAGCGTTTTCCTAATCTTTTACAAATTATTAATTCCTGTGCAATATGGTGCGCTTGATTTTTCAAAAAAATATAAAGTATATTTACTCATTCTTTAGTTTTAAAAACATTGTGAAAATATCCCTTAAATGTTATTCGCTTTCTGTGAAAATAGTTTTCGCCAAACTATGCAAAGATAATTTCGCGATTACCCTGAGCACTGTGAGCGTTTTTGTATTTTTTTAGCGCCAGAATCGCTATTACTTTTGTATATTCCTATTTTTATTTTAACTTTTTGCGTTTCCTGGCGCTGCTGCTGTTATTATTACAAGTAATTTAGAAATAATTTTATGAGGGGGTGCCGTGCCGCAGGGCTTTTGGCCGGGTGCGAAGTTTGCTTTATTGACATTGTCACCCCGGTTAAGCTCAGCTTGTGACAATGAACCAGCACCTGGAGGATGAGGACAAGGATGGCTACAACTACAACTACAACTACCACTACCGCGGCAAGGAACGGATAATAAAATTGTGAAACAACTTTTTAATGAGAAACACTTTTTGCACACTGCAGTGGCCAGAGGGATTCCCGGTATTTTGTAAATTGCTGCCCCGAACGGCAACGATGATGATGTGATGACCATAATGATGATGATAGTCGGGATAGTTCAGGGCGCTTACTTGTTGCACAAACTATCCACATTCAAGGATCGATTCTCGGGCCGAGGAAACTTTTTCGCCAGACTATCGGGTCCACAATTAACAATGAACATTTTACGCCGCACGACTGAAAAACTGCAAACTTTTCGCCGTAATTGCCCAGAAAAGTAACACAAATGAAACGCATCGACGCTTAATTACTTTTGCTAAATGGCACGAGCCCGGCAGCCACCTTCTTCCTCCTTTTCGTCGTCCTGCAAAAGTCTCTTAGGAATGAGCAAGGTAAACAGAGGAGAACATGGGGAAGGATGGCCTGGAGGTGGAGCTCCATTTGGCATGCGGGTGTTTGGCTTTGGTTTCGCTCTTTTCTCGGCACTGCTTTGAATTCTCCCAGAGTCCTTGCAATTTAAGGCATTCACTTGCTGACTGACATCAGCTGGAATTGTTCCTTCGACGAGGAAGTGTCGAATTGAGGTTGGGCTTATAATAATCGGGAGGTTCAATGATTTAAGAATTTAGCATTAGCCTGAGCAAGTTTCCATGATCTACAAAGAAGCGTTGTTTGGGTATTTCATATTGATTTAACAAGGCTCTGAATTAAATTTTGAAAAAATAACTCTTTTTGTTTTAACTAAAGTGATATGCATATATGAATTTATATTTTAAAACCATGCAAGGATTAATGATCAACCGTATTCTAAGAAATATTGAGAGTTAGCTGCACTAATTGCTTAGCTATTATCTCATTTTAAATGGATTGCCAAATTTCCAAGAACTAAACAAATTGTAAGCCTAAGATTTTTTAATTTTTTGAAGATCTATATTGGTGTTAATCCATTCCACGCGGTATCATAACAGTTTATATACGAAAATGTGTTCCCCTGATTGCAATCGTATAGCGTAGTGAACATGTGAGGCCTTCAGGGTGCTGCAAGTCGGCACGATTTGACTTTTGTCGACGTCACAATTCGGAGAAGTTTACCCACTTCTGGCGTTGCACAAAGCTTGGCCCAAAAAGTTGCCCTGCCACTTGGCAAATGCAAGTTTTTGATTAAAAGCCACCGACGCCTCCTGCTCCCAGTTTTCTAGCAGCCAGCGCCAGCAAAGTTTTATGCCAGGACTAGAGAGTCGGGGAAGTTGTTAATTGAATGCATTTGGGGTCCCTGCAATGTTTGCCAGTGCGTGATATGGGGCACTTTGCCAGGAGGCAGCAAATGAAGGAGCCAGCAGGCAGGCTGAAGAGAAATTTCGGAGGTGGAAAACTGTGCCCAGGAGCAGCTGCTGCAATGGGCGAATTGGTTGGCTTGCTCCCACTTAGCCAAATTGCTTACCAAATGTTTTGCCAACACTTGGCATCGACTGCACGGCCTGTCCAACACTGAATGAGAAAGAGAGAGTCCAGTAGTTGGCAATGAAGTGTTGTTCCAGGGTAAGCTAAGTCCACTCATACCTTAGTTGAGTTCCTTTAAAATGTTTCCATAATTATGCCGTGCTTAAAGTATTGGGTTTTTTCTATTTAATAAGATTTTAATAAAATGTAATATATTACCCACACTTAATGCCTCTTAGTGTTGGTAAACGCCTGACTCTAGAAATGAGTTGTGAAAGGAGCACAATGCTCTCCTTAAGCTTAAAATCCCACTCTTTTGGTGGCAACATGCAACATTGATGAGGCAACCAAACCTGAAGAACGGCATTTTCCTCGATTTTAAGTGGGTGGGTATTGGGAGGGTGGTGGTGGCATTAAAAATGCATTGGCCAGCTCGTTTATTGTAGTTTCCTTGCAGGGTTTTGGCTTAGTTTCGTTTAGGCGAGCAGCTCGCCAGGATGGCCTGTTGCACCTGCAAGGGTTCCAGGTTCCACTCCATTTCAGGGGACACACACTTTTCATTAGCTCAAAGGAGAGAGCCGGTCCTCAGTTCATGTGCGGAAAGCCCTTAAAGTTAAGCGCATAAGAGCTGCGCAAAAGTTGGCGCAAGTCTTTGCCAGTCAATGATGCCGTGGCGTGTGGGTTTGAAAATGGAAAAACGGATGCGAATCGGTGCTGTGCTGCCACGCCCACTCAGTGTCTTTGGGCGTGGCAGCTGAATGCGAGCAGCCCCCGAAAGCCCGAAAATAAAAGCAGAAGCAAAAGCATCTGCAGATTTTCTATAAAAGCCGAGGCTAACGAGATTTGATGAATTGCAAGTCTTTGTGAATGAAGCTACAAGAAAGCTGCAGCATGAATAGCCCCCTGGCACCACCCACCGCCCACTCTACACTCTCCGCACTCCGCACTCCGCTCTCCATTTTCCATTTCCCACACCCCCTTCTTGCGCTTTTCCGTCTAAGCCAGGTCCGCATAAAAAAAACCCATTAAGTGGTTTAAAGCAGTGAAAAAGCGCACACAACAAGCAATACAGCAAAAGAAAAATGCAGTTGACATGAAAGCCAGCCAAAAGGGGGTGAAAAGTGTGAGGTGGGGGGTGGGGACAGACAGGGAAACAGAAAAGAGGAGGAGGAGCTGGAGCTGGAGCAACAAAGCTCACCCAGAAGATGAGATAAGGCTGAAGGAACACAGCCGCTGGAGGAGAACAAAGCAGCTTGACGAATTACTTGGCAGCTGCTCCTAGGGAAAACTCAAGGAAAATCGGAGAAAATCCATGGCGAAGCCCAAGAAATTTAATTTGACCAACATTTTGATGTATCAAGTTCAGTCGGAGCCGAAGATTTATGACTTGCTGACAGAGCAAGCGGAGCAAGAACACCAGGATTGGGCTGTCATGTCGGGCGGAGAGGAGAGCAAGTGCATCCAGGGATTATGGCATCATTTGCAGCCCAGAGTTGCCTCCCCGAAGTATGCTAAGGAAATCGTGGCAATCCAGCTGCAGTTTTGGCTGTAGTTTTGAAGCTAAATAACTTTTATACCTTTAATTAAATGCAGGTTTTTAAAGTCGTTTCCGGATAAGCAAGATTGATTAAATAATTCCACAAGGGCTTGTAAATGCACGGACTTAATAGTAACTTTTCCTGTGCAGTAAAGTTAATCTCAACCATAGCTTAATAGACCCACAGATCTAGCAGGTCTAGAAAAGCTTTAATGTAAGCTACGCCATGATCAAAATAAAACTCAAAACTCCAAAAGCTTGCAGTAGCAAAGCTCTACCTAAACAAAAATGAAAGTAAGCTGACGACTTTTGAGTGCATTTCCCATTTCCACTTGCCTCACGTAATGAACCCACTGGAAATGAGGAAAAGAAGGCCTTGACATCGAATCCAGTTTGACTTGTGGCGATAATTACCGCGGTGACTGTGATTCAAACGGTAACGTGGACAGTGACTGCGATTACACAAAGAGAAATACTTTGGGTTCACGAATTGAATGTAAAGATATTCGGATAAATTTATACAAAGAAAAGAATTTCAACTATATAAAATATTTATTACATTCAAAAATCAAATTAGTTTATTGTCGAATTGGATGTTCCAGTAATGAGGGCCTCTACACAAATTATCAGTTCTTCAAATCAAAAAAAAATATCATCTATAATTAGAGCTCAGTTTTCTTACTTTTAAGTTTGGAGAAAGTGATGAAGCTTCAAAAGTCATGAGAAAACTTTAGTTAAGTTTCAGAATTAAAACAACTTTTCGGCCCCCTGACTTTGGAAGTAAAACTGAGGGCTGGAAGCAAAGGTTACCCCAATAGAAATGGCGCGACTTACGGCTTTGGGCATGGCGGTGGTGCTCCACTCGGTGCTGGGCGTCTCATACTACTACTACACCCGCGAATCACCCAACTCCACTGCCCCCCTCTTGGGCGCCTGGCTCTTCTCGGCCTGCGTGTTGGCGCTGCTCCAGGCGGTGAGGATCTTTCCCAGTGCCCAGGCCCAAGTCCAGTTGAGGGGCAGACACCAGACAACCAGGGGCAACCAGTCGTCCTGGGCGGCGCTCTTCCTGGAAACGGTCCTCTGCTGTCTGGTGCTCGATGTGACCCTGACCAAACTGTGGCATCGCATCGAGTCTCTTTGCCAGTGCGCCATTGTGGGTGTCCTCCAGGCATTGGCCGTCGAGGAGCAGACCTTCCTGGCCTGCGAGTACTGGACCTTGGGGCTGACCACCGGCCTTATTGGCGCCAGTCTTCTGTGGCTGACCCTCTGGGCCACCGCATTGCCACAGAAACTGCATTGCGGGCTGCTCGACTGGCGGCGCTCCCTTCATCGGCAGTGCTCCTCGCTGATCTTTGGTCCCCTGGAACCGGGCACTACTGTACCGCCCCAAATGCAGGAAAGCACCCAGAGCTTCGCCACCTGAATGGGAAGTGACCATCAAACTCCTACAACCAAATATTATCGAGTCAATAGCTAAATTTATGGATTAACTAATGCTAAAAGCGTTTTAGTGGGCACAGTGGGATACACAAGTTCGTAGATAATTGAATTTGCTATGGGTTTGAAGCCGATATTTGATAAAATAAGGGAATTGCAGAAAGGAGACCCAACCCTGCTTGACTTGCATGATTTCCATTTGGAATTAGCATTTCTTCAGAGGCGCTCCAAATTTTATTTGTATTAAATTTTTGATGCCAGGTTATTGCACCTATTAAGCTAAGCATCAGAAAGTAACATTTTATGAAATGGAAAATATAGATAAATTACTCAACTTGAAACTGTAACCCAGGGAGCGCTCAAAAACACTTACAATCCCATTCCTCCTTTATCGGTTTGAACCAATAAAACCAACTGAAAAAACTGACAACAACCAAATACATACGACGGCTGACTGGAAAAACGCTGGCAGCCCGCAAAAAAATATGTAAACCCGTTTAACCATGGTCCATAGTCATATGGCAATGCGGAAGAGGACGGACCGCTGCCTCCGAGATCCAAAAGCGACAGACACGCCCCCAAAAAAGCGATTCGGAAGACGGAACCTAGCGGATCACAATAGAGCAAGCCAAGTCGATCGAAAACGATAACAAAACCGAAACTGTGATGAGCGAACGATGGCTGTAAACTTGAACTTGAAGCGTGGCCAAAAGCGATGGACACGGCTGTAACTAGCAACTAGCAACTATCAACTAGCCAGCAGCAACATGCAACATGCAACAACAGCCTGACACACGCAACAATGCAGCACAAATGCTTCCAGAGAAGTGGCCGCCAAATGCTGTTGATGTTGTTTGTTAATGCTGGCGTGTCTTACACTGGCTAAAACTGCAGCCAGTTGCCAATTGCGGAAAATTGGTTGAAAAGCGATATAAAAGCGAGCTTGCGACGCAGCCGTGTTAATCAAAGCGCGTCGCTCGATAGGAAAAGTGCAAGTGATTCCACGCTCCCAAGTGAAATTAAAATCGCAAGCGAAAATCAGGCGAGGTGAAACATTTTGGGCTTTTAAAATAAACAAAATAAGACTATTATACGAACAATGAATTCAACAAGTGAAATGAGATATATAATGTTAAACCTTCAACACTCAAAACATTATCAGCTTCAAATACTTTCGACAGAGTGAGAAATACTACATACATGTAGTTTGTGTAGCTCGAGTTAAAGAAGTAACACTATACTTTTAAAACAATTTTAATCCGCCAAGAGACAAAAACCCAATGAAATTGGAAATTTGAATAAGTATTGAAATATAAATGATTCCGGTTCACTAAATGGTTTTAAATCTTCCCTTTTTCAAATATATCCTCTAAATAATACATTTATACCTGCAGATGCTGTGCCACCAACACATTCACTGCCACCTGTTCCTGCTGCAGCTCCTAGTGATTCCCCTTCTCCTGCAAGGATCCCCCGTCTCGAGTCCGGAAATAGCAAGCCAGAATTCCAAATCGCCAAACAGCGTGCAACAGCAGCAGCAACAGGAGGCCCACCTGAATTCGCTAAGTGCCTATGCCAGTGGCTATGACATGGCCCAGAACCAGGCTCAGAATCCGGCTCAAAACCAGATTTTGTCAACCTCAGATCCTTCGTTTAAGCCCTCGTATAAAATGCCCGAAATGGAGACCAATTTCACGCCCATGCAAACGGCTGGAACACCGAGTGTAGCCAGTCTGCCCTCGACTCCCATGCTGATGCAATATCTCCCGGCCCAGACAATCCAAGACGGTTCGGGGAATACGGTCCAGTATCTGCAGTTGATACCCACCCGACCCATTATAGTGCCCATTTCACCGTATCTATCGGCTGCTGCGGCCGCAGGATCTCCGTCCATCTCAGCCGGCGGACAGCCGGACTTTGGCGGACGGACAGCCGCTGTTTTGAGTGCGCTGCAGCCGCACTACGGGGCTCTCCAGGGATACACCGCTGGCTCGATCAATCCCGCCGCCGCCTTTCGCAACAGCTATCGGATCAATCGCGAGGCCAAGGACAAACACTTTCCGCCCTCTTTCTCCCTGAACCTCAACGAGTATTTGCCGGCCTCCTCCATGGGATTAACTGGTGGCCACGACGCCAATGGTCAACATTTGTACCTGAGGGCCAGACCTTAAGATATAAGCTACTGCCAAAGTCTCACAACGTTTTAGCCTCTAGAATTGTTATTTTTTTTGTTAACCGTACAAGAGTCATGAATAAACTGTAATACAGAGAGCTAGTCTGTGTTTGCTGAGCTTTTAATATTCATATTGCATTAGATTATATAAATTACCACATTGAAGGGTACAAAATAATTTATTTTTAATATTTTTCGACAACCCAATTTCCAACTTATGCGTTACTAATTTTGAATCGCCTACGACGAGACGATACTATACGGTAATGTAGATCACATTTAAAACTATTAAAACTAATATGTTTATAAGTGTAAAAATGAAATGACTTACAGCAAAAACTTGAAACCATTTTGCTTCCCATTAAATTTACATAACTCCACTTTAGTCGAGTCACTGGCGTCGTTCTGCAGCGAGCTTCCACCTTTCGTTTTCACACCAACCTTAGATGACCCAACCCAACGAGACCTAAATAGACCCAAACGGAACCCAGACGTGCCTTTTCTAGACTGTTTATTTGCACAGCAGCAAATGGGGGACAGTGAGATAACAAAAACACACATCAGATGGAGCACTGATCCACTGCCTTTAACACTGGAACCCTAAACCCAAAAACCGAAGGTCGTTTTGCACAGAATGCAGGGCCATTGTTTTTGTTTCTCTTTCATTTGCGTGAAAGTGACTAAAGACCCCATTTCACGCCCGACCGAAACAGCGGCGGTTTGTATCGTATGTGTATGCCTCAAAAACTTTAAAGTTGCGTCAGCGACGCCGGCCATTTCATCTGTCTACTCCTAATTGTCACAATTTGACAAATTCATTTAGCATTAACTGGCTCAAATCGGAATAGATCTTTCATTGCCTCCACTCCAAGTTATCCAAGTCGTTGCAAGGGGTAAGTAAAAGGCCAGAGCCCAAAGCATCTTTCACTTGCCGCATTAAGTGGAGCAAATGCCCAAAGGCCTTTGATCTCTTCGCCGCAAAACATTGACTATGCTATACACTGTTTGGAAAATTTCTTCACAGAATCTGTTGTTTTTCGTTTAACTTTAATAACAACTGAAGAAAATAGTTATTATATATGGAACTTACTCTTGAAAATTTGTATATATACCCATTTGGTGTACGACTCGAAACCGAGAAATTTGTTGGCGTAGGACTTTAGAGGTATTCAATAAGATATTGTACAAGCGATATGCTTGATCTGCTTTAGCTAAGGAATTCGCGGTTTATTCATAATGTAGTTACGACTAACGTTTAAAATTTTCGTTTGACCCCCTTGGGATAGAGTATTAAACGCAATTCGAGGGGCATTCCACGGAGCACTGAGTGCCACAATTCACTTTCAATCACCGACCATTCCACATGTCGTCGATGCACTGACGATGACGATGATGATGATATATCTATGATGATGTGGAGAACGCCCCGTGGCGGTGAATCCCTTGTAATGGGATTTGGATGATGGGTCGGACGACCACTTGCCGCAGAGTTTTGGCTGCGGAAATGAGCGGTTATCGATGCCCGACGACCGGACTTTAAGTTGAATTCGAATTCGAAGCGGGAACTCGATTAATTGCCATGCTTTCCTCTAGATGACTTACATAGTTTCGAAGGGGTGTGCGCTTCACTTGTCCGACGTTGTTATAACACTTTAAAGCGCGTAAATTAGCCTTTGTTGTTGCTGGGCGGTGCTCGCTTTGTTGTTGCTGATTGAGTTTGAAATGATTTCAATTTGAGTTGCTGAGCTTGCAGCTATTTACTTTCCTTTTCAATTAATTGCCGCAGCTCTAAACGAATCCAATCCGCCTTTGTGTTCCATCCATCCTTCGCTCATCTGCATCTCTAGGTGGCCGGCCAGGCCAATGAATGCTGTCCATTTGGTTCCGATATTCGAGATTCGAGTCTCGAGTCTCGAATCTCGAGACCTCAGAGAATTAGGCGGCACAACTATAAAACAACGCGTCAGAGCTTCGCGCCATTGCAGTCGTCTCAGCGCTAGTCACTCGCTCGGTTCGGTTTTAGTTTTTGGCTTTAGCTTCCATTTTTCGGCTTCATTTTCGGCTCTTGGACCTGGCTTTAGTCTAATGCTCACTTTTTTTTGGTGTATCTAAGTGTAATTCGTGCGAACTGGTGAATGTTGTCTGTGCTGGTTCGCTCGAAGGAGTGATCATCGCCATTCAGCCGGATCAAGGCGGTCAAGCAGCCTCATCATCATCATCTTTGGCGCAAGTTATTATCATCATCAGCGTAGGCCACCATAAACGGGACACTGTAATCATGGTGCGTATGTAACCAACCAGAAAGGAATGGCATCTCATATGGATAAATCACGAGCAGAAAGATCAAATTATTAAATTATATGTAGTGTGCACCGGATAACTTAATATAATACATATTCGAAACATAGAAGAATAGAACGAAAATGTAGTTTCAATGATAATTGATAAAAGCAGAAATAGGAGAGCTATCTCAATTATTTAAACATGTTCATTTATGCGCAAGGGTTAATGAAAACGAATAGCTAGTCTCGAGATCGGTTATTAAGTTTTTAAAGGTCCGCACGATCAGATATTTTATCATTAAATCAAAAATTTAAAGTGACATAAATGAAACGAAAATGAATAAAAATAAAATAATTAATAATAGTTTATCATATATCATATCTAGACCTCAAAAGAGAGAGGATGTGTGATTGAGTTGTTCGAAAACAAAATAGCTCTAATGAGCCAAGCTGAGACAATTTCATGGTCCGCGAATTGATTGATGATATGATATGTCACCAGTGGTATTATTTTTCTCAAACAAAAGGGGGAAAGTTGGGTGAGGTAGTCAATCGGTTATAGTAATAGAAAAATATGGGTGGGTCCAATTCACTTTCGTTGGGGAATTTGAATGAAACGGGCACTGAACTGGGGATTTGCATTGATCAAGACAACTAAGTTTTACAACTGGCATTGCCCTAGAACCTCGTTAAACTTGAGCTGTAATCAGCCGGTCTAATCGAAGTTTATTCGCTGGCCCTGTGCCGAGTTTGTGTCTTAAGTCTTTAGTTTTTATTCGATTTATTTGATTTTTTGTGCCTTTTTTTGACCTATGTTTACACTATGTGTGGTCGGTTTTTGCGCATGTTTTTCGATGGAAGGGGGGCGCAAACTACGCGTGTTAACGATGCGCACTCCATTAGCTTCTCCCAACCATCAATCAAGCTGCATTTGCATCTTGTGCCTTGTGTCTTATGTCATCTGACCTGGTTAGGATCATTAGCCGACACGGGGCCGCCAAAATAATTTCGAAGAGGCCCCCAAACTGGGGCACGCATGTGACTTAGTGGCTGCAACTAGTTTTGCAGTGTGTGCAGCATTTGGCGGCAAAAATTGCCTCATCAACTGGAATGCTTTTTCGTCGCGTGACAAATGGTCGTAAGTTGCTTGGTCAGAGTTTTCGGAGTTCGCAGAGTTTCGTAGTGAAGACTTTTGGTTTAGAAAGGTCGCTCTGCAAGTGGCTTATCAGTGATGTGGCCTTCGCCAACAGGTGCAAAATCGAATAGCGGATGGAAAAGGGGGTATCCCACCCACGGGCTTGGCCTGCGCAGATTTCACACCGCATTTGTCTCGCCCACACAATATCTGTTGATCTTTCAACAAAACTGGGGAAGTACCCTCCCCGCCTTTTTGCAATTTTGAGCTAAATTAACATTGGTCAAAACTCAATTAAACACATCAATAGGCGCTGCAGATGGGCGTGGCCCGTTTAATGCGCAGCGAAAGGCGCCAAAACTAATCCTTTCACCAAATATCAGGCATACTACAAAAGTCTCAAAAACGAATTCAAAAAGCATAGTTGCTAATACACTTGCTGCTAAATCGCTTCAAGATCAGCTTTCTATTATAATTACATAAATTGGTATTTAAGTTATATAATTTGTTAGCAAATAATATACAAATACAAAAGCATTCTTATGATTTTTACATTGTGCTGAACTACAATAAGCAAATAATGACATTATTATTTTGTTTTATAAAGTGGTACCCAAACATACATTAATCTATTTAAAACAAGAGAGAACGCTATAGTCGGGTGCCCCGAATATCAGATACCCGTTACTCAGGTAAAGGGAGTGCGAGGGAGATGGAGATAGAAACTTTGATCACGCATAACTTTTTATCGAATGGTCCGATTTGAAAAATTTCTTCTACATTTCGATAGGTATTGATAAACACAATAAAACTGCATTTTTACTTTTCCGAAATATTTAAATTTTTAAAGGGGGCGTGGCACCATTTTGAAACAAACTTGCGCTGCGTAGAAACTTCTAAAATCTACATGCAAAATGCCAATCTTCTAGCTTTTATAGTTTCTGAGATCTCAGCGTTCATACGGACAGACAGACGGACAGACGGACAGACAGACGGACAGACGGACATGGCTAGTTCGACTCGGCTAGTGATCCTGAACAAGAATATATATACTTTATAGGGTCGGAAACGCTTCCTTCTACCTGTTACATACTTTTGCACGAATACAATATACCCTTTTACTCTACGAGTAACGGGTATAATAAACCATTTCGTCAAGTTTATGCTCTCATTTGCAATTGTTTGAAAGAATGACTTTGAATAACGTTTCCCTCAAACTAAAACTACAATTTTGGTTGAAACTTAAAATGGCATTTATCTTCGCCATAACATGATAAGAGCACATATGGTATATAAACATTAAAGTAAAGACAAAAAGATAACCATGCTTTAGGCAATTACGCATCTAGTAGTTTCTTAAAAATGATTGGAAACACCTTTGTTTTGGCACCAAACAGGCGTTGTATCAGCTGCTCCTCCTGTCCGTCGTCCTGACTGCTGGTGTCCAAGGGGTCCTTTCACCACTTCCCGGCTACGATGACGACACTTCACCACTGCCTCTGCGATTGGAGGACTTGGAACGGGAACAGGAGCAGCACCAGCATCTGGACCTCAATCGACCCCCCCTCCTGCCCAATCACTACGAGTGGCGACCAGATGTGGCCGCCAGTTTGCCGCCAAGTTACATCCAGGATGCCGCCCAACGGGAGCGGGATCTCGAGCAGCTCAAGCGTTTGGAGGAGCTGCGTCAGTTGCAAAGGCAGCATCAGCAACTCAGTTCGGGTTACGCCTTTCCCGCCCACCTGCCAGGTGTGCTCTATGTGTGAGTATTGTTCCTGGGAGAGCTTTTAAGCCACCTCAAGTTTATTACTCAACTTTGGGGGTTTAAAACTGGCTCCAGTAAACCTCAAGCTTTAGCTGAGACCCAAAATAAGCTTGGTTGTTATACACGATAAGGTTGAAAGCTAAAATGTGTGCTTCAAGCACCTGAACTCAAAACTTTAAAGTTTTTGATGAAATATCGTTCGATATTTATAAATTAAAATCGCCCTATTTTTATGATGAACTTACTTATTTTTCAATTTCTTTTTGCGATTGTTCATATTGCAGTTTTGTTAGCGTATGTTATGTAGGGAAGCTTATGATCAGTAGTTAAATGAACTTAAGTAACAAATGAAGCTTAACTATAGAAGACCCAGGAAAAATTTGGTTTTATTTAAAATCTATTAAACTTAAGAGTGATTGTTTAATAACTCTGTTATTTTTGATTCTTCATTTGAAAACTGCATGTTGTAATTCAGTGTGCCAGTAAATAACTGAGTTCACTTAACCCTCAACGCAGATCAGGTTGCCCCTCATGCTATGGTTAACCATCTAATGGCCAAATGATTAAGGACTAGTTGGGCTGTTGATTGACGTGTAAATTGCCGCTTGGCGATTGGGAATTGGAAATAAAAGTGCTAATCACATTGGCGATGGAAATAAGCTGTGATTTTCGGCCCAACGATCGTTTCTATCCAATTTGGGATGGTTAATTTACTTAGATAGTGGCTGAAAGTGGTGAAATGGCAGCATTTCACTTACAATCGAATCAGCTTCCGACAAATGGAGTAAACGATTGCTCTAATTTAAAGGATTTAAGTAGTTGGTTAATGAGCTTCTTTTCTTTTTCTTTTTGTCCCCATTAAACAGTGGACAGACGGCTGCCACGCCTACTCCCACGCCCACACCTTTGGCAGCCCCGACACTGGCCTCTACTCATTTCGGAAAACCCATAGTTCCCTACGATTTGGATTTGAGCTTAAACGGTATTCAGTATGTGGCGAGTAACGCTCTGCCCCTCCCAGTGCCACGCCCTCTACCAACGCCCCATGGCCGGCCGCCTTTCATCTACGGATTCACGCAGGGCAGCAGACCCACCACCAACAAACTGCCACCTCTGGTGGTTCAGCAGTCGAAGCAATTCGCCTACGCCCCCGCCCCGCCCCCTCAGCGACAATATGCGAACGGACCTCGGATTCCACTGCCATATCCCCCGAGTTTTGTGAGCATTACGACTCGAAGACCCGGAGCAGAGAGGTACAGACCGTTCCGGCCATCGCAGCCGGATCCCACGCCCGATTTGTTCGCCGGTCGGGCCTCGAAATCGCTGCTGGACTCATATATTCCCAGCTGGGAGGTTCTCCGCCTCATCAGGGAGCACAGTCCACGTCCACAGCAGGGAAGCAGCACTCCCATCCATCGTCAAACGCTCGCTTATCCAGCTCCGCCTCATTTGAGACTCTATAAGCGGGATTCCCAAGAAGATCGCTCGAGAATCGTGAAGAAATCGCTGCGCCAACCCGGCAAGCTCAAGGAGAATTAAGGACAGTAGGCTCGGGTCTAGATCTAGTTTAATGATTATATTTTTTTATTATTGTAATACACACAATATTTATTGCAGCGAAAATGAAATTCGTTTTCTCTGGGAGGGGGACTATCTTCACAGATTAAGATATCGACAACATCATGTTACGCCATATGCCGTATTCTACATTAACTTTTTAAGGCACTACAACTAAAAGTATTTAGAAAAAGAGGATCTATTGATATCTTGCTATAGTCTGTTGTCTTGAGGAGTAATAAAGTGCCCGATTACACCTGCCCCGTGACTTTTGCCACCGAAAGGAGCTTCCTCTGCCCCAAAGGCGGTGATCGGTGATCACATAACAGCAACTGCAGCAGTCAGCATTCAGCATCTTCAGCTCTCCATTTAAAGCCAGACCAGGCCATCGCGGGACAAGAGCGAAGCCAATCGAATCAAATGTGCAATATGTGACTTTGTCAATGAGCCAGTTGAGCCCCCAAAGCCACCGATTCCTTGGACTCTCCTTTCGATTCGAAGCTACGATGTTTTGCTCACGTAATCGCGGCCATAAACCAAACAGCCAGCAATAACAAACAATTACGGCACGATGCCGCTCGGAGTGGCCACAAAATTATGATTTGTGTGGCAGTGTGCCGAGATGCAGAGATGCAGAGATGCGACTTCGAAATCCACCAGACACACGACCAAAAGACTGAGAGACGGACAGGTGGAGATTTATGCAAGTAGGAAGCGAAGATGCTGCAGTTGCGAGTTGTTTCGTTTCGTTTCGGCCATCTCATGGCTGTTAATGAAGCTGCCACTGGCACAAAATTGTTGCATTGTTTGTCACCCATTAAATATGCAGACGGCAACTGAGGATGATGACGAGCAGCCCTGCCCTGTTTTTAAGGGTGTGATGGCAACGTATTTCCTGGCTGTTGTTGATTCCGGTGATGACGTGGACCACACTGCACAAAAAACCATTCAACTTGAAAAAGACACAGCTGGGCGCACCAATCATCGTCCTATTTGTATCTAAAACTGACCTAATAAAGCTCGACCTAGGAAAGTTATACCTAATGTATTAAAAACAAACAAAAAACCGTCCATACTTTTGGAAAACTCAAATCATGGAATAGTAACTGTTGAATCCCATGAACTTCGTGAGAGCAATTATTTGGAAAATAAAACTAAATATACAAAATTAACAATAATTTTTTCGAAAATTTAGAAGAATAAAAGAAGAATTACAAAACTATCTTTTAGAGGTAAGGTAATTTAATTTCTGCAAAAACTATTTTTGGAAGTCTTGTAATCAGAATAATAAAGAATTTATTTTAAATTTAAGACAACGACCTTTTAATCCATTTAACTTTTCGCTCAGTGCACGACCTTCTCGAGAGTTCAAATCTCGCTCCAGTTTGTGCCATCCAAAATAAGTCGTAGGCTCGATCGTAAATCTGCATTCGAAATTCGAATTCAGAAAGGGTCGCCCTTTGTCGTAGCCCACGGCCGGCCTTCTCGACCTGGTCTCTTTGTAAGATCCGTAGGCCTCTTCATCATCTTCATCATCGGGGACTTGGCTTGGCCAGTACAAAAATAAATAATCATAATGCCTTATTATGAGAGCTGACTAAGTGACATTGTTGCACCGCCGGACAATGAGCCACGGCTAGTTGAAATCGAGCTAAGGTTGAGGTTTTTGACTGCGGATTGTGCAATATTTGCTTAGCCGCGGTTTCGATTCGTTACGGTCATTGTTGGCATCGGCATCTGAATCGGAAACAGGCGGAATCGAGTGGTTTCGAGAGCCAAGAGTTAGGAGGAGCACAAAAGAGCGTCTAGCTGGCGAGCTGACCAACATTTCAATTGCTTTTTTCGCTTATCGATGCGCGCCAATCAATGCGAGCTCACAGAAAAACGCAAGCCCAGAGTGCGATCGTGATTGAAGCGAATCAGGGCTACCCTGGATGGGGCCAAGATTTCGGATTGAACTCATCATCTGGTTAGGAATCGAATCTATGTATTTTAACAGGAAATTGATATCTTCAATGGAATTAATCAGTGAGTAGATGATATGGGAATAAGGCGTTGAAAACAGGGAATAAAGTAGCTCGAGAAAGGAAATATTATTTTACTTACATTACATTATACATCAACTTCTCGAACTTGATCAGAAATCCTCGAATTCCTATACCACGAAGGGTTCATCATATCATTTTTGGAGATTGTCGACGACCCTGAAATGCCCAAATCTTCAAAACACAGGGGTATCAGGGGCGAAAACACTTTCGACAGTGCAACCACGTGATTGCCAATGAAGTTTTTAGTTTTCAGTTTTCTGTTTCCAGCGTTCAGTTATCTGAGGCTTTTTATCGTTATCTCGCTACGCTTAAGAGTGTTGTATCTTTTGACAAAACGGATTGCCAAATCTTGTAATCAGAATAATAAAGAATTTATTTTAAATTTAAGACAACGACCTTTTAATCCGACGACCCAAACAACAAGCCCCACCACTCTTGTTATGCCATTTCTCCGTTGGCGCTTGCCCAAAGCCAAACCTAATCACAAAACCCAAGCCCAAAAGCCAAATCCAAATCCCAGGCCAAACCCAAGCGAAGACAACTTAATGCGCCAATTAAATTGCCACTGCTTGCAGACCTTTGGCACTCTCTTTTTTCTCATCTGGATGCTCTGCAATTGTTTTCATGCAAATTTCTATTTCTGTTTCGATCGGTTTGTGGCTTTGTGCGGAGCACAAAAATACAGAAATCATTATAATAAACCCAAAACGAATTCACTCAAAATGAAAGGCCCCGGAATCGGACTTACTAGCCAATCAAGTCCATACCTTTTTCATAAGCCAAAGTTACGCCAATATTTTTATGACTTTGAACTTGAACTGGAAAAGCTAAGCTTTTTGTCTCCAAAGAAATTGGAAAGGTCTCTCAGCTTCGCTTGATAATCTATAGGTTGGGCCCTTTGTGAAAGGTTGCTCTCCCATGGCGAGGCAAGGTCGTTCAGCCACTGATTTTCTGATTTCCAATGTGGGAAATAAGGCATGATTTTGATCAGAAATATGTGGATTAAAAGGGGTACAAAATCAGAACTATTTTTTGAATTCGGATGAGCTGGGAAATAGTTGAGGAAATATATTTGAAGGGTAAGCTAGGCATAGAAAGGTTCAGGACAGGGTTCTATCTAAAACTATCATTCGCAGCATTTGCGGGCACGAAGTTTAATTAATCTTCGAAAAATAAAATAATAATAATAATTGGTTTAAAATTTGTTAAATACAATTGTCAAACGGTGTTTCCATTTTACTGTTGCCTTGTTGTTAAGCATGTAATAATAAATGTGAAAACATCGACAACTCCTGGATTTCCTTGGAACATATGTTGTAAAACACTAAATCAAAATCTGATTAAATATTTAAACATAAATGTTCCCACGAAATTTCAATCAAAGTTTTATTAAAATAAGAAAGAGGTTTCGGTGGGCGAGTAAGGACCCAAGTTTGATTATAGAAAACTTTATCAATCAAGAAGCTTAACCTTTAAGTCAACTCTACCCTGCCCTTCGCGTTTTCCCATGTCGCACCTTCCCACCTAATTAGGCTAAAGGTCCTTCCACCTTTGGCTTACTTTCACCCACTCACCCTTCTGTAGCAGGTATTATTCATCTTGCTATCTATCTGCCCAAGTATCTAAATCACTTCGTTTACAGTTAGGGCAACAGTCCCAGCAACCTACACCTTCAGACACACACTGATATTTATGTCTGTAGAGCCGAGCGGTGCCATTGGTGGTGAACTCCAGTCCGCTCGGCTTCTTCTTCCCCCGATCTACGACGTGCGAGCCACCTTCGCCTTTGGCTTTACAAAAATCAACTTCAACTTCAACTCCAACTCCGGTGCCGATATTCCAGCTTGATGCAACCCGAAGACCAAGTGGTTGCTGCTGTGGCTGCGATATAAAAACCGCGAGCATCGCCAGCGCCATCCGCAGTAAGAGGCGCGACTTTTGAATGCTAGCATCGCTCCGAATCCGATTCCAAAACCGAAACTAAATCCAACGAACTCGGTCGTGTTTACCCTTAGTGTCAGAAATATTTTTCGTTTGTTTTTTTGGTGCAGAATATTAAAGAGTGCATCTATACAATCAAAATTGGATAGTGTGAAAAGTCGCTGTGAAGGCGCATTATTACCTGGAATCGCCATGAAAGTAGCATTGATATTGGTAAGAGTAAGAGATGGATACGGGGAGATTACACAATCTCTTTCGGAAAACCCGGAAATAAGACCCACCCACCAATCGAATTGTGCAATTTGTGCGGAGTCAAAACTAGTCGACGCGACTGACAAATTAATTTGCATTCAAGTGGTGTGCAGTTGCAGAGCCGGCTTGGTCAGCTGGGAAAGTGGTTGGTTGGTTGCAGTTCACTCAACCAGGCGGAGGATGCAATGAACTCCCACAAGATAAATTATCGCAGTCTTGACCTCTTCGTTGGCTTCAGCTCCACTGACTGCCCTTCGAACTGCGAACTGACACTGCCAGCAAGTCCATGTCCATGTTCACTTCCATGTCCATCATGTCCATCAATCAACGCGCTGAGGGAGCTGGGCTGTCTGTCGTTAATCGTCCGCTAATTGGACGCTAAATTCCACGGTAGAATGCCAGAGGATTGGCCAAGTGGCCACAAGAAATCCGTTTACGCAAATGTGCACACACAGAGCGAAAATAAGGAGTGGATTGCAATTGCAATGTAAATAATAAAAAAAAGTTAATAATAAATGGGGTGGGATAGGTGAGATTATTGAACGATGAAATCATAAAATCTTTAACCGTGGGACCTCAGGTAAACTTTTGAAGACCATTTGTTTTTATGTCGATGTCCGCAGCTGATACCCTGCAAGTATTTTCCAACGCGGCAGACACCTTTTACGTTGGAAGTTGAAATTGATCGTCGAAGTATCGCTTTCGGTTTGACTTTTGTTGGAAGGATTTTGTTTTTGATACATCTTTTTCTATATTTTCGAACTAGCCAATTAGTGAATTTTTTTGCAATAGATTCCTATTGTAAAATTTGTTTAATCTATGATCTATGTTTGTACTGGCCATAATATGGATTTGAGCACGGCTGACTTAATAGTCACTACAATTGATTACTTAATTTTATAATGGGCACTTATTTAAATTTTACAATTACAACAATTTAATGAAAACTTACCGAACCGTTTTTATTTGTAAAGATGTTTCGAAAAAAAAATTAACACAAAGATATGTATTCATAAATTTGTTATCATATAGGAAAAAACTAACATTTTTATTAATTGCTAACTTTAATAACCGCAAAAACTAGTACTATTTTTAAATTGTACTTATCAGTCCTAAAAATACTCGAACTGCGTGACCACAACAAAGTTAAAAATAATAGGAAAATATTTTGTATGATATGTGCATCACCGTAACAATTTGATGTCGAAAACGATGAAACGATTTAGATAAACTATCAAAATAAAAATAATATATTACCATGTAGAGTAAAGTGAGTATCTATTTGATATTATCATCCCTCATCGACAAGAAAAACAAGCATTAATATCATTAAATAAAAAAGATTTTGATATTTTTGTTTTATCTGTGCAGAACTTGTTTTTAGTTTGTATTTTTGTTGATCGCCGCTCATGTGGTTATGTAAAGTTATTACTCTCCATAGGAAGGGGAACGGGGGGACCACTCAGCCACTGGCAGGATAATCTGTAGTTGTCTAATTTACATTTCATTGTTGTGCTTGGCTTTGATGTTGCTGCTGCTGCTGCTGTTGCTGGTGATGCAACAACGAAAGCGAAACAATAACCAAAGCACCACACAAACTAAGCAAAAAACCGAGTCCGACTAATTTGCACGCGTTGCGTGACGATCGTTTGCCCCGAGTTGCTGTTGCTTGTAATTTGTAATGTCGGGAATAGGAATCTCTATCTCTACTTCAAAAATCACCCACAAAGCCAGCCACTTCGCCAGTCGATTCTGTTTTACGCCAAGTGAAAGGCGACTCTAAAGCGCGATGCAATTAAATTAAATTATTACAGAAAATAGTTGGCAAAGATAAATCAATGCGAAAGACAGATCTAACTAGTTGCTGCTGTTGTTGTTGTTGTTGTTGTTGTTGTAGTTGTTGTTGCTGCTGCTGCTAGACAGGAGCTTATATAAAAGCTCTTTGGCTCCCACAGCTCATGCTAACGTTTGACAAAAATTCGCCGCTGTTGTGTCTGTTTTGTGGCAAGTCTGCCGAAAAAACTCTTCCTGCTTAACGGCCAAATAACAACTGCTACATAAGAAACCAGCAATAACGACAACGGCTATTAAAATGACTTGACACACTGTCCCAGTTTCGGGTAACACACACACACACACATACACACTTACCCACTGGCTGGATAATTGAGTGACAAAATGCAATTAAAACTTAACTGACCGCCAGATATGCGAATTTATTGCTGGACATGGAAAACTGGGAGAGGCGATTTCATCAAACTCGACGGGCAATAGCATTTGGCAACAATAAACCAGCCAGTACATTCGTGAAAGAGGCAGATGACTTTGCCTTATTGTTATAAATTTAATGGTTAATCATTATTTTCTATAAAATTTATCTTCGCCATAAATAGCGCCGTTCAGTGCGCAATTTCTGTTTTTTAGCTTACCACTCTGACATTTAAGAGTTATGGTCAGTAAAGCGCGGCAATTATCGAGTTTAACTGGTTCAATTTAACATATTCTCAGACTAACCCATAACTCGCATATATCAACACCCGTTATCGACCCATAACCCATAATCATCACCCAGATAATTACCATTTAAACCATTTGATCGATGAATATCACACCATTAACTTATCTGTCACCATCTGCGAATCAAAAGACTGAAGACACGAACTGCAAGCAAGCGCTGAATTCAAAAGACTCAAAACACGAACTCGACCACAACGAGATTCAATTACAACACCAATTCGCTTGATGAAATGTCAAATGTGAAACCTCTCCTCAGCGTGTGTTGTGTATTGATGGTTTAACGAACGATACACAGAGCGAAATCGAGACCAAAAGACGGTCTCCAAATCATATGTTTTTCTCTTTGTTGTCTTCGCCTCCCACCTTGAACCCAAACCAATATTGGCCGAAACAAAAGACTTCGCTTTGCACAATTCATGTTGGTTTCGTAGCTAAAAAAGTTGCTTGGGTAAATTGCCACAATAAACTTGATCCATATGGTGATCAATCAATATGGAAATGCTCAATGGCAAGAGCGTAGAACTTGGTTTCATGAACAATTTCCAGCACGATTTTAACAATGTTACTTCTGTATTTGAATTTTCTGTTATCTAACGAATGGATAACACCTAACAATTCATGCTAATTGAATTTGAAACCAAAAAAAAGTCTTGTTTCCTTTATTTTTCAGGGCACTCTGAGTGCTTTTCTGTGCCTGGCCAGCGCTTTGAGTCCGTCGGAGTCGAGCGGTTCGAAGGGCAATGGCTTTCCCAAAAAAGTGACCACCCTGAAAAAGCGGCCAACCAAAACGCCAGCCACGGTGCCCATTTCCACCAGTAGGGGAACCACTCTGAAGCCCAGCAAGCCACGCATGAAGATTGTTAAGGCCGCAGCCACAGGGAGCACCACCAAAGCGCCGGTCTTGACTGAGACATTTGGCAATCTGCCCGCCGATGATCTTGAATTCATCAAGGAACTGGACAAGCAGTTTAAATTGCACGGCGACAAGATCAAGATCAAGGTGGAGAGGGACAACTCCACGGGCAGTGTTGGCAAGAACAGCAAAAGGACCATTGAGGGGGATTTGGGGTAGGAGCACGAATGGCGAACTTACCGAGAAACCTTCTAATTGCTTTGCTTTATTTGTTCTAGGTACGGCTACTCACATCCTGGCTACGATTACTCGCCACCCAAGTTCATGTTCTATCCGTACTCCCAGCATGACATACCCTCGGGCTTTGCCCATCCCCAGCCACTTCCGGAGGAGCAACTTCCGGAGGAGCCACAGCAGCCGGCACAGCAACCGGCACAGCATCACCACCAAAATCATGAGCAGGTGACCAGCGTGACCATTGAACCTTCTTACTCCTACGAGCTGAAACCGCAGACCAGCTATGAAACCCAGCCACAGCACACTGCCCCCGAACAGCCTCAGATTGATCTGCCGCAGGATGAGGCGAAGGGTGTGGGTGGCGGTGCTGGTTCCGGTGGTTACCAGGAACCCGTCATTGTCCTCCGTATTCCCGGACCCGCCAAGTACGCAGCCCACTTGCAAACCCTTCTCCAGCAGTATCTCGAGATCAGGGCGGCGCAGTACCTCAGTTTGCTCCAGGAGGCAGAACAGCAGCAGCAGCAACAGCAGCAGCAGCAACATGTGGATACCCCGCAATATGGGCCACCAGAACCTGCTAATTACCACCAGGAGGTTAGCTATGCCCACCAGCTGGCACCCACTCCCGCTTCCGTGCAATATGCACCCATCGACGATGTCTATCAGAGCTACAAGGGGCGCCACCAGCAGCAGTTGCAACTGCAACAGCAGCAGTATGAGCCGCAGCCATACTACGCACCAATGGACTATCAGCAACCCACCCATTTCTACTATGCCCAGCCACAATCTCATCTGCAGCAGCAACCCCAGCTCTATCTGATCGCAATGGCCCAGCCGGAACCAGAACCAGAACCACAACAACATCAGCATGTACACCAGCATCATCAGCAGCAGCAGCAGCATCATCAGCAGCAGCATCATCAGCAGCAGCAACATCAGCAGCCAATATATGTGCCTGAATCTGATCCACCCACTGCTCCTGGAGGCCCGGAACAAGAACCGGAACCGGAGCACAGCCTGCCCATCACGGAGAACAATCCACGACCCACCCACACAAAGGTCATCTTCAATCCCTATCCATATCAACAGCAGCAACATCAGCAACACCAGCAAGAGGAGCAGCACATTCAGGAACAGGGGCCACATTCTGATCTCGAGGAGCAGCCACAATCGGAGGGCGAGCGTCCCTTCAACTACCACGCCCATGGACTCAAGATGCGTCCAGGAAAGAGGGCGGCTAAGCCAGAGCCTGCGGATGGGGAGGGGGGTTCGAATTCCGGCGACGTAAGACTGCAACAGATTCGAGAGTACGTGAGGGAGAAACTGGGCGCCGAAATGGGTTCGGCTGTGGAATACAAGACAACGCAGCTGCTCGAGGGCTAAAATTCTGATTCACATCAGCCTGGGGGGATGGATATTCACTAGAAAGAATGAATTTAGCAAAATAGAGCACGTACAAGTGTCAACTTCATGTCCAACGAAATAATTTTCCAACTTGACACTTGGTTAAGTTCGAAAATATATTATTTGCGAGTGCAGAAAACATCTCTAGATATTTAACACCTCCTGAAAATATGTTTGAAAGTATGCTGGGAAACCAATAATTTTAAAATATATTGTAGTACACTGTCAAACACCTTTGCTAGTGATTTTTAACCTTCAAATATTTCCTTCGCACCCCTTAATGTTCAAAAATAAGTCATTTAGATTTCCAAAATCTCTAGAGAACAAAACACTTGTTAACATAACGTACGTAAGCTAACTTCCAATCTTAAAAACAGTTTTATATAGAACCAGAAGTATATTCTAAATAATTTGTTGAAAATATTCTAGAGATTTGAGAAAGACGCCTGCCTTAAGAAACTCAAAAAGAAATTCAGTGAGCCAGTGATTTTTAGTGATGCCACTCACCCCCTGATTAACTCGTATTGTTAACACAGTTTGTGGTTGCTTCTTGTGCCTGATATCCGTTCATTAGTATTTATTCCAAGCTGGAGGAGAAGGAAGAGCCTGGGGGCCATCCTCCAGCACAAAACTCATTTAAAGCCTGTCCACAATCCTCAAGCTACTAGCTAAAGCATACTTTTGGGGGAACTCAATGGGAAAGGTAAGCATTGTACCCCCATTCTTAGTGGAGAGGTTTGGGACTGGGGTTCACTCCACACATTCGCTTTTCATTATTTTGTACGACGTTTTTTTTATGTTGTTTGTATTGTTAACCAAGAAAATGTGCTGCTCATGTGTGCAATATTTAGTCTGTAAATAAATGTGCTTCTTGAATTTACTTGTATTTTTGTACGATTAAACAGAAAAGAAACTTATTTGAAAACTAATCCCAAAGTCTTGTCATTTCAACCGCGGAGTTTACCGATTAACGGAAGTCCCACACGAAACCCATAAAAATAGCATCGATTTTATTTCATAATGTAATTTCAGTGTTAAGAGCCGAATAATTTCGCCATGAGCTTTACAACATAGTTTTGTGAAAACAAAAAGCCCGTATTGATAGCTGACACGCAACTTACAGCGGCGTTAAATGCTGGTGGAAAATCCAATTGTTGGCGAAAGGGAAGTTTTACTTGTGAGGTCATTGCTTTAGTAAAGATTTAATCTGGCGAAGATTCTATATTATTTATTTCGTTCTAAAGCTGATGTTCACCAAATGATTTCATATTATATTTGAAGAAACAAGGAATGGATATGGAATCTTTAGTTTTGCAATTTAGATTAAGTCGATGATTTCGATTGAAAAATATAGTGGCGAGATTTTAAGTTATAAAGAGAATTGCCTATTAATAATACTACAAATTCTTAAACTTTATCAGTAGTAGACAATCGAGGAAACAACCTTATTTGGTTTCTTGCTTCCATCTTATTTACTCATAAATGAAATTCTCATTAAATTGTTAATAATTTGTTTAAATGGATGGTGAAATGGTGGATAAGATTCACCACAAACGCGAATAGCTGAGTTAACCCCCTGTTGCGTCCAGTGCGCTCTAGTGATCTAATGCGATTCGCTGCAATTTGCCGCCCCACCGAGCGTTGGCCAGCACTTTCACATGGCAGTCTCTTCCTTTTTGCCACATCGCTCTTGCCACATGGATGTTTACGTAAAGAGATTCGAGATACTGCGGACAAACAATTAGCATAATCAGCTGCCGCAATGGCTGGTAAATAGTGCCAATTTCTATAATTTTGAAATGCGGCAGCGCCTGTCGACTTTCTACTGGAATTAAAAAGTGGTCTGCGACTTCCGCACTCTTTGGGAGATTCGCATTCCCATTCGCATTCCCACTGCTATTTGCATGATCCTCCAATCGGGATCGCTATCTCTGGGCTGTCCTCTTCTTGGAGCCCTGCCCGATATCATATTTAAGAGGAAATCGAAAGTCCACGTTCGCTTGCCATTGTTGTCACGGTCTCGGTTCGCTGGGAAGTCTGCCAAGTTTCTTTCCAATTGAATCCAAGCACGCCCATTCACAGCATATATACAGCTGTCAGGGCAGCAGCAAAACATTGGACTCTTCCCCTTTCCGGAATCTTATCAATTACCAGCACTTCCATTTCAGCACGTAAATAAAAAAAACCTGGTGAAAACTGTTTGCTTTATGATCTAAACTATGATCTCGCCCCAACAATGGACCCATAAAACACTTGTTGTATCTGAAACAACTATGGCAACAAATTAATAACCAAAGCGATGGGTGGGGTGGTAAGACGGGTATATGTGCAGTCTGATCCACAAACATAAGCTTTTTAAACGCTTGCACAGTGGAGCAAAGCAAATTAATTATCCTCAGCACATCCCAACATCTGCAAACAAAGTAAAACGTCGATATGTGACATCTTCTGCACATTAGCTCTAGTGATCTAGCACCTCTAAAAGTACAGTTTGGGTCAACTTTTTTCGATAAAACGGAAAAGAGAATATTCTTAGTCGAATGCATCAGACAAATTAAGCTATGGAAGTGTATTAACCACTTCAATATACCTTTGCAACGACATGGGTGGACAAAGTTAAAACATTTATAGCTGATTACCCGCTAAACTAGTTATTTTTTTGACCTCCGCAACACAGTTAAAATAATTTTAATATCCTAAAATAAATCCTTAAGTCCCGAGAAACAAAGACTAATTTTAGTTTTATTTCGTCACAACACTCATTCTGATTTTTAATCACTTATCGATTATTTCGACCACTGTTCATCTGGTGGTGCTGCCACAGCCTCTTCTTTGGTCGCAGCCAGTGGATTTGGTGGGGTTTCTGCAGTTTTTGGCCACATAACGGGGGACGGATCGCTATTGCAGCGCCAAAGCTAGCTACAGCTATTAACAATCGCATTCGACTGCTGGCAAGGTTGTTGATCTTCACACATGTGGAGGGGCCGAAACTCTTTGCCAGCATTGCTTTTGTTTAACGCTGCAAAATTGTTTCGCTTTTATTATTACGGCTATTATCGTTAGCGTTAAGTGTGGCAAGTGTTTCAGTTTCGTTTTTTGCTTCTCTTGCAGAATATCAAAATATAACTCATATGCCCTGTGGGCCGGCCAAAAGCCAATAGAAATCTCTGGCCTGCACGTAAGGGAAATTAATCAGATGGTCAATTTCAATAGCAAGTGCTTGCAGGGGGATACTTCCACTACTCCTTGAAGTCCGGGTTTTTCTATCGAAATTAAAATCTGCTTTGTTTGGTTTTCGGTAATGAGAAACTCTGCAGCTCCGGTTAAAATCATTATAAATCAGCTAATACTTTTTTTCGTTTGTCTTGGCTCCTTGTTAATTATTATGCACTGAATCAGTGACCATGAAGCTAACCACAGACTGAAGAGCTGCTGAATCGCCAAGCCACCAATCTCATCTTTATGCTACGGCATCCACTTCTTTCCCCAGGTGTCTCGATAGAAATACTAAAAATGCCAGTCGGATTTGTCAAGACTGGATCAAATAAGATGCAGAAGCTGGGATAGCTATTTTCACAAGGTTTAAAGTTTTCTTTAAAACTAAGCTTGTTTGAAAATGTATAACCATAAAAATTTCATTGATTTATAAAATAATAATTGAATATTTTTTTCCCAGATTTTATTTGGAGAAAATCTTCAAGTTTAATTAGCGCCCTAAAAAAACATGTATTTAAAAAAAATTATAAGCCAATAAAGATAATGGCCTTAAAGTTTATTATAAAGATACATTTTAAGCTCCGATTAGAATTCAAGTCATAGGAATCACATTATTGAAATTAAGGACACTTAAGTTACTTGGGTTAGGAAGACCACTTGTACTTCAACGATAATTACTACGTTTTCATTGCTGCGCATTCCAACCCAATCACCTGCCGGATTCCTTCTGCTTTCCGTACTCCGAGTAGAGTGGGATAGTCACTCCCGGGGGCCATTATTTGTCGTTTAGCCCAATAAATGCCTTTGGTGGCGAAGATTTTACAAGTCAATTACGGGTATTACCCCTCCTTGCTCGCCGGCAAACATTTCATTGAACTGTTTTGTGGTACGGGGTTTGTTTGGCTTAGCTTATGGCTTAATTGGCCATCAAAGTGGCAGCTGAAACAGAGACCGAGACCGAAACTGAAGCCAAGAAACTGAAAAACTGAACTGCAAAAACCAGTTGTCCTCTCTCTTTCTCGCCGATCATATTGCCTTCCCATTCCCACTTTATTGGTTGATAATGGGCGAACTTATCACGCATACGCCGAGTTGTGCGTCGATGGCTTATAGCGATTCGAATTGTCATCGAAAGTGAAGCGATCTTTTTCTCCCCTCCTCTTTCCACTGTCTCTCTCTCTCTCCCTGTTGCACCACTTGCACTTTTCTTACTTTTCTTTGGCGCACACATTCGCATAAATTTTCCGCTGCAGCGGTCCGCATCATTATAAAAGCCTCGCCTCGCCAGCTGGCCGTCAACAATTCCAACTGAGACTCCGGCGCGCCACGATGTCAGCGCCACGATCCCGACACCATCATCAGCTCCATTCAATCCACCTAGTCCATCAGATCGAAATGGGATCGAACGTCCTCAGCCGGCGGCAGTGGTGCCTCTGCCTTTTGCTTATCGTAAGTAGAGCTCTTTCCCAAGGATTTGGATCTATACGACCGCAAGGAATACTTTTTTTTCGTGACCAGTGATCAAGTGATGTGAAAACTTACGAACTAGCTTGTTGTATTGCGACCTGAATTATTGATATATTGCGAATTTATTAACAAAAATCCAATAATTCTAAAAGCACAACATATTTCTAGACATTTTTCAGAATTTCTTTTAAGTCTTAAAAGAAAACAAGAAAATATCTCCCAAAAATAAAAACTATTTCTGGAGATTTCTTAACTAATCAAAGAAATCGTAAGTTCTGTGTTGAAGTTACCATCAATGGTAAATCATTATCAATAAAGTAAAAAATCTTTCAGAAAATTCCACAAAATTTAACTGTGTTGACTTTTTGTTCTCTACTCTCAGGCAAATTAAGAAAATCACTAAAAAATTTAAAGAAATCAATGTCTAGGATATATAAAGTAAACATTTTAAAAATATAACCCAAATTAAAGATTACTTTTCCAAATAATTGAAATATCAACCCAAATAATTTACATGCTAATATAATAAACTTAAATTTCGATTAATAAAGCATCGTCAGAAATACGTAAGCAAGCTTAAAATTGTAATAAGCTTTTGTAATCAGTGACATAAAATGTAATAGGCATCCTTAATATCAGAGAACACATAAGTTGTTCAAATCATTACATATTTGATGAAGAATCAACGTATCTTATCCCCTTAATCGAAATCCATTTTTCGAGCCGCAATTGCGTGCTGCAAGTATTTCATGTCGATGTTTCATTGCCCTCTCCTCTGGCCAACGGGCCATTGAACTTGGCCAACTGAGCGCCAACTCAATCATATAGAAATTGAGCTGTCAGTCCCCCTCCTTCTCCTTTTTCTCTTTAAGCCTCCTTGAAAGCGAAAGTGAATTGGCTGAGTTTAATTAGTTTAATTGCAAAGTGAGCACAAACAAATAGGCCCCAAACGAAGTGAGCAAGTGGAATCAAGCGGCCAATTACCATCAGAAAAACCACGCCCCAAAGCAAAACAAATATTATATTTTACCTTTAGGAAATAAATTATATGTTTAAAAGTCTAAGTTCCAAAGTCAGAAGTTTTCCTAAGTTATTCACCAGGAACTCAACATTTCTTGGCTTTTTAGTTTAATGTTTCTTGGCCTTTTTATAAGTTTAAAATTTAATTAATTAATCGCATTAATTCTCTTAAAATCTCTGTTTAAATCTTAGTTTTAATTTTTGGGTCGATTCTGACCCTTTTCCAAATTTTCGAAAAATGGGTTTGCAGAAAAGTTACCTAGAACCTGCACTTCTAAGCCCATAACTTTTCTTACAGACATCCTATTTTAAAGTGGCACACCTCTCACCTTTGTTTGAGTCGATTTTTCGACATTTTCATTTCCTAAAGTGGAAAGTGGCATACATTAAAATGATAGTTTGTATTTTTGGGTCCACTTTTCGTAATATTCCAAATTTTCATAAAATGGCCTTGTTTGTCAATAATATTGTATTATACTCTTTGATTTGATTAAATTGAAGTTGAGTCCATTTGTTATTGTGGTTCAGAATACCAATCTCTTAAATTTCTTTTCAGATGTCGACACTTTGCAGTGCTGTGTCTGTGACCGCAGGTACCTCTGGCAACAGTCGCCGTCGCGTTGGAGGATCAGGAGCAGGTGCATCCTCTCTGGAGGACACTGGCGACAAGGCCGTGCCTGATCAACTGGCTATGGCAGCTAATCGTCGGGGATCGGACTACTCCAGGCGGGGATCGGTGATACACAGCCGGTCGAAGGAGGCGCCCAGCAAAGGTAACTTAATTGTGTGTTATTACAAAGTCCATTATTATATGTTTCAGTCAGCAAAAAAAAAGTATTTAAAACATATAAAAATACTTTAATTTTGCTTTTAGCCAAAATTGTTCAAGTACTTATAGAAATAGTCAAAGTGCCCGAAAGTATGCAGAAATTAACGTACAGTCTCTCATATAAGATATTAATTTAATATGTTTTAATAAAATCCGTTTGCAAGTTACCCATAATATACATTGTATATTCCCTAGACTACAGCTACGGCCAGGTGGAACTGAATCTAGTGCGTCCAGAGCAGGAACCGCATCCGAAACTCATCCTGAGCACCACAACCGCAGCATCCGGATCCGGCGCCTCCGTCAATCTGGAGGATTCCCAATCGGCAGCTGAATATGTAGCCAATGCCATCAAGCTGGCCTACAAACAGCCACCGGTGCAGATACAGCTAAAGAGTCCAAACCAGATTCAGAATCAGAACCAAAATCTTAATCAAAATCAGAACCCCAATCATAACCTCAACCACATCCAGTCACAAAAGGATCTGCAAGCCTCAACCCAGAGAAGTTACCAAGAACAGAGGAGCAGGGACAGGGAGCTGCTGGAACTGCAATTGCAGAAGCAACTGCAACAGAAGGGTTTAATCCCTGCCTCTGGACCCTCGTCTCCATCCTCCTCGGGATTCTCAGGATCCTCCTCTTCACCACCGTCGCCCGCTTTGGCACCCGCTCCCGTCTACGAAAAGGAACCCGTGACCCGGAGCTATGAGCTATATGAGCCCGCTACCGAGGGAGAGTCCAAGATTCAAGGACAAGAGGACATCGAACGGCATTATCGCCCCAAGTACAACAACAATTTCAACAACTACGCCCCCTATCAGCCTCCACAAATGTACAGAAATCTAGAAGCCGAGGCCGAGGAAAAAGTTAGGGTCTCTGCCTCTACGGAAATTCCCAAGTCAGAGATTATGAAACAGATTGAAAAGTCGGTAATCAAGTATATGAAGGAACTGGAGGCAGAAGGTAAAATCATAAGTACGCCCCAGGAGCCGGCCACGCCTCCTCCACCACCACCGCCGCCGCCCTCGATCACCAAGGCCTCCTACTACAAATCGCAGCCTCTCTCATCTGGATCTCATATTCCATCTTCGCACTCGGAAGAAAAGCGTTATAGCAGCAGTACAGTGAGACCCAAATATACAGCACCACCACCGACGAAACAACAACAACAGCATCACCAGCAGCAACAGGTTTACCACCAGCAACAGGTGCACCACCAGCAGCAAATACAACACCCGCAGCACCACCAAATAGCTGGGAAACTAAGGAGCTCTTCGGTGGTGGCCAATTCGAAGCCCATTCAGCACTTTCAATCGGAAACGGAAACGGCCTATCAGGCCCCCGATTTACCCGTGGACGAACTTAGTCCCAATGTGGAGTTCATCTACAAGATCAAAACACGGGCTCCCCTGCAAACGGCCACTGTGAAAACCGTCTCGAAACCCTATACCCTTCCACTGAAGAGTGCCGAACATTTTGATCATGGTGCGGCTCTGAAAAACATTGAAGAATTCGACCTTTCTCACGTAGTGCCCACTCCAGATCGCGTGGAAAGGGAAAGGGAACGTGAGAGGGAGAGGGAGAATAGGGAAAGGGAACGTGGTTCTCGCGAGGATCAGGAAAGGCTTACAAGCTCCGGTAAGCCGCACAAGTTGTACTTCAATTCCGAAATCTATCACGACATCAATGCTTTGCCCTACAAAAGCAAGGAGGCAGCTCTACAGGAATATCGCCATAAGCTCAAGGCAAGCGCCTCCGGGGAACTGCATCCGGATTATAAGGGATACTCCGGGTACTTTGCCGAACCAGAAGCTGAAGTGGAGAACGACTCCAAGCTAATCCTAGGCGAAGATGACTACCCCTATCAATATGTGCTGAAGAAGGAACCCCTTCTGGATGACCATGATCCGTGGCTGGAACAACAGCCTCTACGTCTCGCCCACGCCCACGCCCATGGCCACGCCCACGCCCACGCGCACAGCCATGGCCACGCCCACGCGCACAGTGGCAAGCATCCGAGTCTAGAGTACGACAGCTATAGTCCGAAATTCAATAATAATCCCGAGGGGTATGGCTATCAGCATACCTACAAGGTCAGAGGTCAGGCAGGAGGCAGCGGTGGCGGTGGGGGTGGTTCAGGGGGCGTGGCTGTCCTAGGGGGCGCAACGGGGGGTGGAAAGCGTGGAAAGCGGGGAGGCGGTGCTCATCCCAGACAAGAGGCGATTAAGAAACAACTGCGAGCAACGGAGGTTAAGGACTTGGAAGCAAGTTTGGCATTGAGGCCACCGCCCAAATAGTTATCCCCTCCCCTCAACTACAGCCCCTTCTCCCTTCCCTTGTAGCTGATTTTATGCCAGAGTTTCGTGCATGGTCGATTGTATATGTTATGTTTTTTTTTTTAGAACCTAAGTTTAAGTATGATTATTTATTGTATGGCCAACTAGAAAAGCGATAACAAATTACGCCAATAAACAAAATAATAAATGAATACATAAAATAATAAAAACTATAGCCTCTGTGAAAATATATTTTTTCTCTCAGACTTTTAATAATACAATTTTTAGTTCGATAAAATACCGAATTCCTGTACACATTTATTTCCAGTTTTCAATAGAGTTTTGGAACTTTATTTGATCAGGACTAAATCCCCTAAAACACATTAGAAATTTCAATATTGAAATAGTTATTTTCTTTTTACACAAGCAAGATTTTATAACTTATTCCATCACTAACCCTATCATTAGAGAAAGACAAATCGATTGCTCAGAAAATGCAAGTGCTGCCCATGCCGTTTTTTTTTAATTTCCTTTTTTATTTGTGTTTTTGTTTTGCTTCACACTTCGCTTTCATTAACACAGCGTTGAGTGTGTGCGTGTGATATAATTAAATATTTTTGCGTACAATTGTAAGGCAGCCGCCCACAGCCCCCAAAAATTTGATTGAAAGATCCAAAGATTCAGCCTCGGATTGTGTAAGGCAAAGTAAAAGTGCCGCCTCTGATTTGCATTTTTAAGTCAAACTAAAATGTAACTACATCCGCCATATTAATGTTCTGGTTTTATATAGGAACCCAAACTATTTATGGGGGAGAATCTGATGTAAATTTGTAAATGGCACAACACAGTGTCAAAGAATGACTTACGTGACACTTTGTCGATTTTATGCCAGCCCAGCAGAAAATTTGTATCTATTTTTTTGTGGCTCAAATTTGGCCCCCGCTCACGCACAGATTTTATTCAAGATCATATAGTTGTTCAGCGGTGACCGTTGGTGGGTATAAAAAGTAATTTCACTAGCTAGTCATTGCTCACTCGGCATTCAAGCATCGAAATCACCCGCAAAGATGAAGCTCAAAGCTGTCATGGTGAGCGAAGTGAATCCTTTCCTATCCCCAGTTATCGTCTACATTAATCAATTACATTTTCCCAGCTCCTTATGGTCTTCGCCCTTCTGGGCGTTTCCTATATCCAGGCCGTTGTGGTGGGTCCCCAGCAATTGCACAATAACAACAGAAATGGCTATCGCTACAATGGGCCCGCCCACAAATATCTACCAGCGGAGGTATCGCACGGCAGCAGCTTGGACTCGGATCGCCAGCAGGAACCACTACATCGTCAGCAGGGATTCAACGGTCCGCACAACTCGCAGTATTATGAGGGACAGCAGCAACATGGCCAGCAACATCAGCAACATCGCCACCAGTCAGAGGAGGATGACTCCACGCAATCGGGTTTCTCCCAGCAGCAACACCAGAGCTTGGCACACCAGCAACATTTTCAAAACGTTGCTAACCAGGCATACAATAAAGACTCCGACTACCAGCAACCTCATGGTTTAGGCCACCAGCAACGTTATCAGAGCTCTGACCAGGAACAACATAATCATCATCTGGGTTCCAACCAGCATCAAAATAATCACGAGAAACAACATCAGGGTTCCGGCCATCAGATCAACGAACATTCCTACGAGACTGCTTATCCGCAACAGCAGCAGCAACATCACCAACATCTGAGTCACCAGCAACACCCGCAGCAGACGGTAGAGCCCTGGAACGCGGTACACCAGCAACAACAAAGCCAAGAAGGTGGATCCTGGCCATCTTCACAGGGTCACAGCTTCCAGCACCAGCAATATGAGCAGTTCCAACCACAGCAACATCAACAGCAGCAGCAACAGAACAATCGCTTTGAGCAACAGCTACCGTTGCGGGGTGACCTTTGGCAACCCATCCGCGAACTTGACCTGGAGAAGCTTCCTTCGGCCGAGGCACATGCCAATAGCCACAAGACGATCGCGAATCCCGGACGGGATCAGAAGCTCGTGCCAAGTTACACACTTTCCAGCGATTTGGAGCATGATCGGTTCATTGGACTAGATGCTTTGGACACTCGTCTACTGACCCAATCTCTGCCAAACGCCTACCGGAAGCAGACCTTCTCCTCGCCTTCGGGACCTTCGTCTTTGAGCCAGCGGCAGCATGAGCAACAGCTGGCTGGTTCCCCAGGTTTTGGTGGTTCCCACGGAGGTTTCCCTGCTGGATCAGCCGGCTCAGCTGACTTTCTGCAAATGCAGTCCCACTCGTATCAGCTTCCGTCCACGCACAGCATCCACAGGAAATGGCCCCAAAACGAGGAGAGCCAGCAGCAGCTTGGATCTCAGCAGCAGGCCACTGGAAATCGTCAGTACTCAGCTAGTGCCTATGCCGTATCCCCGCCGTATCTGCATTCCTCGTTCCAACCTTCCCAATCATCCAAAAATAGCCTCAACCATCCCAGCCGGGACTTCCAGCCACCCTACTACTAACCCCGAATCCTAAAACTGTTTCATCACCAACTGGATCTTGGATCTGCAGCCATAAGATCCTGACCATAGTTACGAACCGTATTCTCAAGAACAATCTTCAACATTTGCATTTCGCAGGAAAAGCATTAGGTGTGAAAAGCCAAACTATTTTAATTTTTAGCAAAACGTGTACAGATAAATGAATTTTGTAAACTTTTTTTTATATTTAATAAAGTGTGCATTGATTAAAATGGAATTATTTTCATCTCATTTTGTACAAAATACAATCGTTATTTGCTACAGATTCGGGCAGGGGGGCAATTAACAATATTCCATAAAATGAGTATCTATCGATACTGTTTCGTTATTTGCCTTAACATAAAAATTTTTTTTCTGTTTAAATGTTTAGTTCACTAATCTTTTTAAAAATTCATGGAAGAATACAATAATATTGTTATTTGTTGTATATGTATATAACAATAAAGTCTGTATTGCGCGCTCAAGTGATATCATCCCAAACGGGAAGCAGCCACGACCTTCATAGCTGGCCAAAAGCGAGCGTGGCTAATTTGATTACGACTTTTGCTAATAATTGCGAGAATTTTGTAATTTTCTCATACTTGATGCGGTTGCTTATGCTGATGTTGCTGCCGTTGTGGCGAACTATGCGCGATTAGAGGGCCACCAAATTAGACCCGATTCGGTATTCTCGAGCGGCTTCCGCTGTGCAAGTGAAGGTAAAACAAACAGAAACCGCAACTAAGAGACACCCACACGTCTGCGATGTTGCAGAAATGAAAACAACAGCAGCAACACCACTGCACGGCAGCAACTTTCTTTGCAGGAAGCCCGCAGCAATAAGTAAATATTGCATTCACAGGCAAGTCCGTGCTCTCTTTTTGGCACATTATTTGTTATGTTCATGCTTCGGTTTCAATCAAGTCGAGTCATCGAAATTGAAATGTTGCCGTCGTGCGAAAGCGATCAATGAACAGCAGCAACACCAAAAACTGACAGCAGCAACACCAACTGCCCATTCGCTGAGGGCAAACTGGTATACCGATTGTTATAAGGCGGCACTTTCCTTTTTGTGGGCAAATTGTTATACGGAAGTCGGCGAATTTTACAAAAGATTTTTAATTCATCATAAAGGAATTCGAAATATTTTTTAAAAGGCTCTTCTCCACAGAGTACTTCTAACAAACCAGATTACAATAAGATTCACGGGCAGATCTAAAATCTGCAAACACACCAGAAGTGCCATTATTTCCTTTCCTACCAAAAAAACATTTCACACAAAAAAATAAAGGCTAGTGAATAATATTAAAAGCTCGCTACTACGAAAAAGATCATCATATTTTTGGTACAACCAACAGCTAATCTGGCAAATTCCTCAAGTGGAAAATTTTGCGTTCGAAGGGCGACGAAGACCAAAAGTCTCCGGTTCAGTTACATGGGTTGTTGATCGCACAAAAGACGGCGACGACGACAACAGCAGCAGCAATTTTCAAACTTGCAACATTGCAACATCGTTTTCGCCAGCGACAAAGCCCGAAATATATTTTAATCAGAATGAGGTTTAATAAAACTAGAGAGTTTGAGTCGATCTGGGCGTTTCGATGGGGGGCATTCGAAAGGCAGTGGTAGTGGGCAATTGGATGCCAGATTACGCAACCAAAAGGAAGAGGTGGAAGTGGAAGGTATCGGTTGCAGCGGAACCACAGGTATCGGATGACATCGAGGCATTTTCATATATATGCCCGAGATGCCAGGGCCACTCCAAGCATTTGCAATAGAAAAGCATCTTGGGCAGCATGTTGAAGGTTTTTCAGTTGCACATCCTGCTCCTGCTCATCTGTATTGCATTGATGAGGGCACAGCAGCAGCACACGGGGATTCAGCTTCATCCCTCATGGCTTTACTCGATGCCCTGGCGACCTTTGATCCTGCCCACGGCAAACCCTTTGCCTCCTCTGACGGGTGTTAGCCAGCTGAGTCCGGGATACACGGGTCCCCAGACGTTTCCTCCAGTTCCACAGGACCAACAAGAACAGCATCAGGGTCTTAAGCAGCAACCGCAGCAATATAACCTTCAACAGCAGCAGCAATATCAGCAACTAAATCAGCAGCAATATCAGCAACAAAGTCAGCAGCAATATCAGCAACTAAATCAGCAGCAATATCAGCAACTAAATCAGCAGCAATATCCACAACCATATCTACAACAGCCCGTCCTGGTGGGTTTATTCACTCCTCAGCTGCAGGCTCATCCATTGGCAGCTCCCCCACAGGCGGGACATTTCACCCTGCCCTTCAGGCCATCACCCTTTGCGGGTTACACTGATGACGAAGAGGGTGACTCAGTTCGAGGACAGGGAAATGGCATCCAAGAGCAACAGCCGCAGCAACAACTGGAGGAACCTCCCTTCCATGCCTATCCTTATAATAAACTGGCAGCGGAGAGATCGGAGCCACCAAGGGGAGATGGAAGAGTCGCTCCACTAGGCTATGTCTATTTATCACCTAGTAATGTTTATAATCTAATAAAAAGTTAGGCTAGATAAACTCATAATACCAATAACCTAATACCAATATTAAAATTAACGATAAACCTTTAAATAAAATACGAATACGAATACGATCATTTGTCCTAAAATTAAAAAACCAAATATTTTACATTTAATATATAGATATTTTAAAATCATTTACAAACTTCCTGATTAATAGGTATTTAAATCAGGTATCGTTTTCTTTGGTGCCCCGCTTTTGACAGATTGGAAAGGGGTCTTCCCACACACATTCACTCTCTAGGGGTCTGAGACCAAGCCCGCGTATTAACCCCAGTCCCAGGTCCATTCCCAGGCAAAATTCAAGTCCAAGTCAGGGTCTGGGGCAATGTAAGGCCGCTGATGACTCGTCCACTATCGGAGGTTTTTAAAGGCGGCCGACTTTTGTTATGGGCGGATTTGGTATCTCTGCCAATTTGTTGCCACTTTCAAATGCCTCAATTATGACCGTCTCGTCTCGCACAAGTCGCAAATCGGCGAAATTATAACTCGATCGACGTGGCAGGTGTGACCTTGGCATGCGGACTGCGCAACTGTCTGGGGAGAGGTCTAAGCGGGTGCCAGCCAATTACATCAACTAAAAGCTCTGCGGTGGCACACGACTGTTCAATGTTGGCAAAAGAAACGGGCACAAAACGAAAACAAATCGTTGAGGCAGTAGAAGATGAAGTTGAAGAAGTACCAGAAGCCACTTGTAAAATGCAGAGTCTTCAGACTAAGCAGACACCGAGTAATTGTCTTTTATTTATGTAGTTTCATAAATGTAGGAAATTGTTTCATTATTTTATGAGAAACATTAAACCTTCGCTGCATTATAAGGGGTATACGAGAAAAAAAGAAATAAATATATTTCCTAGATCGTAATATCCTACGGAGTAAACATTACTGATGCTATATCTCTACAAATTTATTGTTTTTTATTAGAAATATAAAGGGATAAATTTACAATTTGCTACATGATCTGATGTGGAGTTTAAGGCCCGTATAACTATATTTCAAACCCCAGCTTTCATGGTTCCTGAGATCCATCGATTAATGGGTATTCATTACTGCCTTAGGTATCTTAAGTATTAATACAACTGTTAGCAAAAAACCACGCTTGATGGTCGCCGACTGACTAACAGATGACCCCAACCATGGGCAAACTACACCAGTAAAAAAGGGGGAGCAAGCTGCCCATCATTCTTCGCTCAGGGACGCCGGCTGTGTATATCGCCTGGGTTTCGGACCAAGTCCATTAGCTAGCCATGGGTCACCACTAAACGGATGGGAATGGGGTTCAAAGCCGCCCGGTAGACCCCAAACTATTGCCAAATCATCATTTGCAGCACAGATCCAAAATGAGATCCCGAACGATGGCAACAAATCGCTTTTCAAACTACCAAAAAAATTGGCGCAGCCGAAAAACAGCTACAATTACAGGGCGTGGAAAGGGGCAAGCCGAAGTTTATATACGCCTTTCAGTTATAATAAAATGTAGTATTCTGTAAAACGGCTTTATATCGATTATATAATATGCACACAAGATTAAAAACAATGAAGTCAAAACGGGTTTGCGTTAAACTTTTTGATCGTTCCTATGATATAACTGTTCAATTTTTAAAAAAATGATAATTTATTTTGAAAATCTTAACAACTTGTTATATACATATATCAAAATATATGCGTATGTGCAATTGTGAGATTTTCCTATTATTTTCTTATTCAATACTATGTTGGATATTTAAAGTTTAGAAACCATCTTTCTAAAATTGTAACATAATAACTATATCCAGAACTATACACAAATGTTTTAAAACTGCGTTGCAAACTTGTCACTGAAATTATGAAACGGAAAGCAGAAGAGGAAAGGGGCTTGTTGCTGTGAATTAAATACAATTTACGCACAAGCTAAGGTGACTTTAGTGCGACTTGCAAGACATTCATATGTATGTACATAAGAGAAGGGGAAAATGGGCAACGTTAATTCGGGAAAGCCCATGAAAACAACAACCAGGGGGCGTGGTCGGACAGACATGTGATATTAAAAAGTGTCACTTGAACTTGAGTGGCACTGTCAAGTTGGTATAACGGCACAGTGGGTAACTTGTAGTCCTGGGACAGAAATATAAATAATATATTTCAATAAATTTTAAATTAATGTATACATACATATGTATGTATACATTTTATAAGTAGACAAATTACGTACTCACTTTGGATAAGTTGGCGTCCAGAAGAGAAGAATTTCCTCCTTTAGTTTTATTGCCTTATTCGTTTTCGGTTCATTTTTCTGTTCTTCAGTAGATAAATGGAGCGGGGAAGATGTGAAATATGTACGATCCTTTCTCCATAACAATTAGAAAAACTAATACAGAAAAAGGAAAGATAAAACATTCGAACAAACGCTATGTATATATGTAGGAATAATACTTAGCTTTTTTTATACACGTGCTTGCCATTTTAGAGGTTAGGAACACATTTCGCAAATGTTTCCCTGCGCACTTGAAGTAAACTTGTATTCTGGCTTATAGTTGTAATTGTAATAGTTGTAATTCCTTTGTTCCTTTAGGTACATAATTCCAAGCAATGTTTAACTATTTTTAATAATTATAATAACAAATCGAATCCTGGCGCAGTTCTGCCAATTTTAAGCTGCACACTCGACGCCCTTGGAAGTGGAGAAACATCGGTAATGGCAACGATGTCATCGATCGAAGACATCGGTAATATCGATGTTGGGCAGAGCATTATCGATGTTTCTCCATCTCACGAGGTTAATATATTGAAACCAATTTAGAATACATAATTAAGTTCATATATTAAACGGAAAGTATTTATACAATTTTTAATAATCATTTTAAGTAAAGGCGCTATTTATTTTTGGCAATATATGCTCTATCTTGAGCTGGTTTTTATTAATGGTCTTACAAACATTTAGTTCTTAAACTAGTGGAAAACTGGATTGTTCGATTTCGTTTTAAATATTTTATATACAAGAATCGACTTTATGATTTATTTATTTAATTATGTTTATTAAGGCCCCACTGTGCGGCAAACGAGAGTGAGAGTGAAAAACCAAAAAGTAGCAGCGCGGTTGGCGTCGACCATGATACAATAACATAAGGTAGTCTCGTCGGCAAATTTTGGAACCCTACTATTAAAACAATGAGTGCGAGTGAAATGGCAACTGTTTAGTAAGTGCGAGCAGAGTGACAATAGAATGTGTGGATTAACCCTTAGATGGTTCAGGGGGTTTTTTTTGCCTTTCATAATAAAAGGAGTTTAATTTTTTTTTATAATTTAATTTTTAATAATTTTGAATTTGAAATTAGGCGTTGTTTTTGCCTCTGAATACTGAGTCTTTTGTTGAGATTCTTAATTTTAAAATATATTCTAATCTTAAAATAGCAAAGAATGTAAACGAACCTTTAATAATCGCAGCCGAAAATGTTAGTATAAGTTTAGACATAAAAACTTATACTAATATTTTCGGTTGCGATTATTAAAGTTTCTTTTACATTCTTTGTTATTTTAAAAGTATCACAGCGATTCCTCCCACAGCGCTCTTTTTTCCAAACATTTCGGTGCCTTTACGCCATCGACGTGTTTGCGGCACACATTGCAAAATGTCATGTTGCTCAAGGGTTAATTTCCTAAAAAATTCGTCCGCAGACAACCTTTCCCTTCGAAAGACGAACACGCACTGACCAAAACCCGAACGTTTAGACAGCCGACGAGACTACCTTATGTTATTGTATCATGGCGTCGACGTTGACGTCCGCGGCAGAAACAAAGCGAGACCAAATACCGTTGCTTTTCGTGTGCGTGTGCGTGAGATCGAGAGAGAGAGAGTGCAAAGAGAGAAGCGAAGACAGTGTCTTTTGGAGCTCCGAATGGCGGATATAAAAAGTATAAAAGGGTCGTCATTTACAAAGGTCTCCAATAAAGCGCCAACGAAACGAGTCGTCTCATTTTCCTGTTAGCGGTTCAAACGCGAACAACAGGGACAACCATACACGATCTAAGGATAACCCTTCTGTTATTGTTTTTTTTTCCGTGCTTTTTTTTTGTGGCGTGCCAGCATGAAATTCGCCGGAGTACCGTTAGCTGGGGCTTTGATAAGCTGCTGCTACTTCTACCTGGCAGCTGCCTCTTCATCTTCCGGACTTCCTGTTGCTTCTTCTTCAGTTCCCGCGTCTCCATCTTCAGCTCCCGCTTCATCCAAGCCAAAAAGAGACGCAGGATTAAGTTTTGGAGGAATCTCCAGTTATCACGGCCCCTCCCACAAATATCTTCCACCCGCCTATGAAAATCATCTGAACTTTGGCAGCTACCATGGAAATTCCCTGGGATCCGGTTCCGGTTCCAGCTATTCCGATTACTCCGGTCATTCCAGTCACTCGGAAGGCGAAAGCAGCTACGGCCATCATTACGGACATTTCGGGGGCCACGGTTACGCGAGTTCCAGTGGACACGGAAGACCCCATCATTACAGCAGCAGTGGAACTCCCAAAATCGAGACCTACATCGTGCAAGCTAGCGGCGGTCCGGGTTCCGGTCACAATTACCATGGTCAGGGCCACGCAATAAGTCATGGAATCAGTCACGGTATAAGTCACGGCCATGGACACTCCCATGGCTCCGGATTGGGCTACAAATACGCACCATCCTCGAGTGGATCCTATTTAAACCTGCTGGGAAACAACCACAAGACCAGTACGTATGTGGTGGCTTCGCCCGAGTTCTCCGGAAGTCACGCAGGAAGCAGCCGTGGAATTGGCTATGAATCGGGACCAGTTCACAGACCCACCTACAGCGGCCACCCACCAAGTCACGGCTACAGTCACGGTTTCGGTCATCCCATCAGCCATCAGATCAGCCACGGGCCCAGTCAGGGATCCGGCCACAGTTTCGACCACAGCTTGGAGCATGCGTTGGAGCACGGACTGAGTCACGCTTTGGGATTGGGTCACTCTTCTGGAGGTGGAGGCGTCGGAGGAGGACAATTTGCCCAGCACCCGTTGCCTCAACCGGCGGAGGAGCACTCCGGCTACTCCTACGACGCCCCTGCCACCACTTTCGGCAAGGGAGTGCCCCTAAGCAGCTATGGCGTTCCCCTGATTCCCGGATATGACCACCAGGAATCTCTGCAGGAGCAGCCAGTGCAAGTGCAAGTCCTGGAGCAGGAGCAAAAGGCAGAGCGCGAGCAGGAGAGGGAGACTCCGGTCTATGCCCTGGGCCACAAAGGATTGGGCCACTTCAGCTACACGGCCAGCAAACCACAGGCCCTGCACACCGACATCCTCAGCTCAGCCCACTCCGACGCACCTAATCACGATCTGGAGCTCTCGAAGGCGCCCTTCAAGCCCAGCGCCTTTTTGGGGGCCAAGCACGAGTCCGGATCCAATTCCATTTCCGGCTACGATTACGCCACGCCCAGCTCGCCGTTTCTACAGACTCCCTCTTCGCCGGGCTACGACTACCCGGCTCCGGCGCAGCTCTACGGACCACCCGGTCACTCCGGGAACTCGGCCACGCCCATTTTCGAGCCGGAGGCCACATACTTGCCGCCTGCCAGCAGCTTTGGCCCACCGGCCACGTCTTCCCATGGATATCACTAAATTATTAAGCCAGTTTTAAGGTCTACTTCATTTTTTTCGCTATCTATTTTCTACTGTAAGCCAAAATCGAAAAATAAAAAGAACATATTTAACAGAATAAGTCTCTTAATACAAATGGAAGCAAAGTAGAGATCATCTGGAATAAGGAGCTATGTGCAGACATCTCAAATGAGAATTTACAATTCTGGGAAAGGAAAGTTATTGGGCTCTCAATTCTTCACAGTCAAGACCTAGAAAGCTCTTGACCGCTAAACAAATAAACTCGTTATTTTCTATAATAAAATTAAAACATTTAACCGGCCAAATCAAATTGTTTTAATTTAAAAAGCGAAATGGAACTTTCTCAGCCACGGTTTAGGCCCTTCCTATAAACTGGACAGATTCCAGGCTATTCAAATGCCGGACACGTCTCTGATTTTGGCAGTTTTCTCTCTCTGGCTTGCGCTTACGGATTTGTTAAATTTCGGATTTCGCTTGAAAATTGTGATTCGCATTTGATGCGTGAAACTATATCAAGCCAGTGGAAAGGGAGAGGCAGCAGTGGGAGTGGATCGGTCAAAACGCTGATGGCATGGCAATGAGTCCAAAGCGACCTACTCAAAAATCATACACTCTTAACTAATTGAATGTGGTGGAACTTGGCTTTCGCAATGCGGTTATTTAAGGAGATGGATAAACGGATAATAATAAATAAACCGGAGACCTTTATTGAACTATGGGTTCCATTTGTTTGAAAAGAAACAAATTGTACCTTTGGGAAAATGAGGAAAATGGACTAATCAACGCATCCGATTTTATTCAATTTGCTTTTGTTTGGTTCCTAGATAAGTTGCGATTATACTGGTAAATTACAAAGGCGTCAGGGCAATATGCTGGGGCTCCATAGGTGGGCATCGCCAGTTGAACAGGTAGTAATGCTGCATTCCATCCCCCGGTACGAACTTGAGCGTGGCCAGGTGCTTTTTGATCTCCATTTGCTCGAGCGTGTTGAACACGTCCATCTGGTTATTTCTAGCCGAGATCATCGTATCATTAAGCAGGTCCGACCAGGACGTTTTGGTGGCCACATTGTAGAAGGCATTGGCGGCGCTGATGGTCTTGTGCTTTGCATGTTGAATCACCGTCGAGGGCAGACATAAGTAGCTGGCTAGATCGGTGACTTGGTTCTTGGCATCGGTCACCACAAAGCATTCAATGACGCCTGGCTTGGGTGTGAACCAATGGCTGAACTCGTCCTTGCTGAAAACCGGACACAGCTTGAACCGCGTGAGGTATTTCTCCAGCAACTTGTGGGCCTGGTCCATGTCCTCTTCTCTGATGGGCCGAAAGCCCTTGGTCTTGGTCTCATTGGGCAGGCTGTACAGCTGGAGAGCATGCTGCACGGTCAGGTTGCGGGACATCGGTGTGTAGCGCACCTCGACCAGCTTCTGCGGATTGAGGAAGCGGTGCCAACAGCGACAGGAGCCAACTGGCGTGGGCAGGTGCACACCGGCGGTGAAGAAGGCCTGGAAGATGCCCTTCAAATTGACGCGCCGTGTGATCTCACGCATCAGAATCGGGGCCACGCGCTTGCCGCGCAGCCTCTTGTGGACACACATAAAGTTGACATCGACCACTTTGATCACCTTGTTGTAGCATCTCAGCTTCCCAGGAATGGCCGAGATGAAGGCCACCAACTGGCCGGTGGTCTCCACACGAACGCCCACATGCCAATCGCTTTTCCAGCCCGGCGGTTTCAGTGCCCATTTGAGGAAATCGGGCTGGTTATCCAAACGAAACAGCTTTCGACCGTCCTCCACGTAGTTCTCGTTAAGAAGTTTGTAAAGCTCTTCGAGTTCTATGTTATTGGCCAGATCCACCAACACCCACATAAAGCCAATGGGCAGAGCGTAGGGCTCCGCCCGGATCTCAGCGGCCCTCCTTTTCGGTGTGATACACCTATTGGAAGTCACATACTCGTCCTTTTGAACCATCGGCTGTGTCGACCAGAAGGCGAACTTCTTGAACATTTTGAGGGTGCTGGCTATCGAACCCGGTATATCCATAAGCAAGGGCTGTTTATTTTCCCCGATCTCATCACTTGGCTGCAGATCCCTGATCCCGCTGCATATCACAGATTCCTCGTCCGTAATCTTCAAATTTACATACTTTTGACTATCCACCTTGTGATCATCCATATTAATTTTCAGAATTCAAAATTAGTTTAAGTTAAAAAATATATATACACCAGTACAGTTATCTGGCCGTGAAATCAGTAGTAGGTCTACATTAATTGGGAAATGTTCAAAATTGACTCAAAAAACAATGATCCCCGATTCTCGCCCTCTTTTTTATCCCAGTCCCACTTTTGTAAATATAGATAAAAAATTATTAAGGTTCATAAATACAAACAAACGAAACGAAAGAAGCTAACGAAAGTTAGCACAATAAGAGTTACTGTGACACTTAATCTGCATAATCAACTTGTTCATCATCCGAATGCACCACTCACCTCCGGATGATCGATGGTCAACGCACTCCCCGTCTCTCTGTTGCCATATTTATCATAACTTTAACTTCATTCCATTTCCCATTCCAATTTTCGTTGCGCAACCATTGCGATTCGCCTAACCAGTTTGGGCATTTGATCCTTAAGTCGCTGACCTACATCAAAGAAATCAAGACGCAGCGCAACGTAACGAAAGTGAAAGGATGACAGCTTTATAGGCTCTGATCGGACCGGATTAGTGGATCATACAAGGGGATCTCTTTCTCCGAAGCAACTTGACCTTTGCCAAGAGGTGAACTTGAATGCGTGTTTGAAGCTCACATCTGTTTCGGAAGCGACCAGAATTAGCCCAGCGAAACGTGACTTAAGACGGAAATAGAATACGCATCGCACACATTAGCCAGGTTTTCCAACATTACTCCAATCTATTGTGTTGTATTTCTTGGCACGCTGCTATGGGAGTTATCTATACATACATATCTCTGAATAGGCACGAAATTTGTTCATTATAAAAAGCGATGCAAACACCTTAACCAAAGACACCTGTTAAAATTAAGAATTGGGGTTGGGAATTTTGGTTGTACGTTCAATTAAATATTTAGAAAACAATTTCGAAGAAAAGAATATAATATAATATATAACGGAAATGTGGTATGATATTATAATTTGCTATATTTATGAATTGGAGGGTAATATATATCATATACCCCGCTGGGACTATAAAATAAACACAAAGAAGCCCACATGCTGTGGCTGAGGTAATCCCCCAAATATTTCCAGGCAAGGTCAAGGCTTACGTAAGCGCCTCTGGGCAACCTTTTTTCTTTCTTACTTGGAAGCTTAACTGTGTCGACAAGTTCATTCAGGCACAACAATCGAAAGGCGAACAACAACAAAAAATTAGATAATTTTCGTATGTCAGTTTAACAAAGGGTCAAAAAGAAGGTGACAGTTGTTAAAATGAAGAGAGAGCGAGAAACAAGATCAGCCTATGACAGCTTTATGGCTGACCATTGGGTTTCTATAAGCGATAATCGATCTATCAAATTTTGGTGCGAACTTTTGGCCAAAAATCAAGGCCGAGAGAGGAGGGTTAAATATGGTCACACATTACCAGCGAAATAAGCCATAAAAAAGGTGTTAAATAATTTCATTTCGTCGTTATTGTTGTAACCAGTTGTTAATCCCCTCCCCTTTTATGTTTTTCCCATTTTGCTTTGAGTATTTATGAGTTTAATGCCTGATTTTTGTTCATTTTCAACCCACTCCAAGGGCTGTGGAACAGGTGAGACTCCACTTTTCATTTCACATTTTTTTTTATTAAAATGCAACCAGCAGCAGCAACGACATTCACTTTTCATTTGCTTTTTGTTTTTTTTTTTTGACCGACTGTCTCCGGTTCATTTTTTGCATGCGGTAATATTTGTTGCTATTTTTATATCATTTATTTATGGCATTTTTTGCATAAACCTTAAGTCTATTAATTCTCATTTATATATCTATTTTCTGTTCATCAGATGAATCAAACTATAATCCAGTAAGGTTAAAGGAGGGGTAAATTTGTAATCTTTGGTTTTTTTTTTGATTAAAGTATTAATGTGTTTGTGAGAGAGAGTCTCTGGGCAATTGATTTATAAAATATGATCTTAATTTCACAGTTTTTAGGTCAAGAAAAACAAAACTTTTAACATTTCTTTTTCAAAAATATGCCGCTTAAAATGTTAACATATGTGCAAGTTTATATTAACAATCATATTTATTTATTTTATTGTATTTGTTTCCTATTTTTACACCACTGGCATGCTTTTGTGGAGTTATTTTTTTCTTTCGGTTCAACTTCCCGTTTTGTATATACGTATACCCTTAAATTCGATAGGAACTAAGCTGACCGCTTCTGCTTTTTTAGATTATGTACTTAAAAACTCATCTTGGCCAACGTCTTCTGTAAATATTGTGGTCATTTTCTCAGTCTCTAGAATCCGCTCCCCCTGAGAATCCTCCAGGTCTCCTGGGCTGACGCGGTCCTCCTCTTCTAGCCATTGAAACTCATCCTCCTCCTCAAATTCTGGCTTCTGTGACTTATTTACATCCTCCAATAAAGCATCCTTCTGGAGCTGATCCTTGAAAGCGGGTCTCTGAGCAAGGGCCGGGCTAAACAGAGGTTTTTGCCGTTCAATCCGGTCGTTTGAATGGCCACTCTCTGAACTGTGACGAATTAACTGATTGCGGCGCATGTAATCTGCTCCACAAACGGAGCAGACATACGCCTTGCTAATACTATGAACGAAGAGATGAACATCCCGGTTTTCGGCTCGTCCAAATAGCTTGCCACAAATCGGACAACTATAGTTCTTTTCAGCAGTATGGGAGGCCAAATGTTTCCTGTAATTAACGGGATGGCTAAAGCTAGCCTTGCAGGTGTCACAAACAAAGTTCCGCTCCTTCCGGTGGACCGTTTTAATATGCTGATCCCGTTCTCGTTTCTGTTGGAAACGCCTTTCGCAACCTGGTTCCGTACATGAGTGCAGATACTCCTTCATGTGGGTATTCCTCAGATGGCAATCCCTATTGCTGCGCTGCACAAAGCGAGCTGGACACTCCGGGCATGGATAATTCCGTTCACTGTTGTGGGAATTCATGTGATCCACGAGGGCGTTACGTCTTTGGAAGACTTTGCCGCATGTGTCGCAGGTGAGTTCGGAAGTGGATTTTTTCTGCCTGTTTCGAAGTCGGTGGATAGGGCGATGGGCGGCTAGATCCTTCTTGCTTAAGAATACTTCTGGGCAGTGTCTGCAGATAAAGGACGCTGATCCTGGAGAAAAGAATTCAAGGGTGAGCCAAATTTTTAACGATTGCTATATTTCGCAGACAACACTACTCATAAATCACTCAATTATCTAAAATAATTATATGCCTTAATCATTTAATTCCTACTAGAAGAATTTCAGAAGACTGGAGATTTAAAAGCAATCGGTTTTAGGGATAATTCTCACTATCTGCTATATTGTCATCCTTACTATTTATTTTACATTGAGATTGCAAGGTTGTACTGTTATTTTCATTAAGCTTACCGCCTTGGAGTTGTTGCTTTCCCAGATTCCGTTCCTCAAACTCTTGTTCTTCCCGTTCCAGGGCCAACTCTTCATCATAGATCTCTGATCTAAAAACCATGACCGCACCCTCCTCCATTTCCTTTGCGCCTTCGCCTTTTATTTCAAACAAGGTCTTGAACCTGCTAGCATCGTATTCCATGGTATTCCGCTCCATTTATTAAAAATTCAATTAAATTAGCCAAGTTTGTTTCTTGTTTTGTGTTTGGTTTTTAGAGATGGGAGAAGCAACAGGATTAAAATGCACTAACGCTTCGATATGTATGAAAAAGAACACAATCTTTGGCGGCACTTTGGACAATTATTATCGATTGTTATCGAATTTAAATTTTGTATGTAGGATTTGAAGATTTTTGAAATTAAAAAAAGGGAGTCTGTTTGCATTGAACTAAAACTTTGGAAATAAAACGCTTGTTATTTTTTGTATTTTAATCAATTGTTATGCAATTTATTTATACGCTATGTAAATATAATTTGTTCACAACTGTTATATAATTATTTCCATTTTTTCTGTTTTTCTCTTCTTTTATGTTTTCTTTTGTTTTGATTTTTAAGCGGCTGCTTTTAACAATTGTTTCGATTTCGTTTCCCGTTTATCGACCGATCTGCAATCTATATAATTCCCACGTTTTGGATGATTTTACGCGAGTGGCTCGTATTTGGGTTCTTTTCTTGTATAATTGTAATTCGGATTAGCTACAACTACTGGGTGACGTTCTTATAATTTTCCTTTTGCCCTCTCGATCGATCATACTAGAGTTTTTGTTTGCTTTTAGAAATGTTAACAAATTTACAGACTTATATTGTTATTACAATAATTATGTATTTATATATATATATTTGTTGGTTTATTTATATATGTATAGATGCATTATATAATATGCACTGAAATGTGTCAACAGGATTTTGGATTTGAGGACAGGAAGTGGGAAATGGGAAATGGCAGTTTATAGGGGAAAACAGGAAATATCGTCTTGTCATTATCTTAAAAACTGATTTTTCTCAAATTCGTCTTACTTCTCGTTTACTATAAAGGATTGGAATACGTAGCTGCTTGCTCATTTTCTACCCACTTAATTACCTTTTTTTTGCATCATTTAAAGTACGAAAAAGTGTGCTAGTTTCCCCTTATTTCAATGGCTAAAAAGTGGAAACAATTTTGTTTTTATCTTTGTTTCGGTGTTACACACGTTTCGTGTTTAATTGCGTTTGATTTAATGTTATTTAATAATTTTCCTTTTGCTTTAGAATTTAATGCTATAAGTAAATACCTGCCTGCCTGCCTTCTTGCAATTGTTTGGTATTATCCCACAAATTCTATATCCTTTGATGGGTTTTCGGGCATTAAAATCTATTTTGGCTTATTGCTTAGACTCAACTAAGCTACACTACACTACATACGAAACATTGAAATATTTTTCTTTTCGAATTAAAAAAAAAACACTTTAAAAAAACTGCAATCTTCGCACACACACACAAACAGTCACACAAGAACTACTACTTAGTTATATAGAATTAGGTAGATCGTACGTATATATATATACAGAGCAGGAGAACAAGACCTGCAACAGTTTTTCTGTTTCTGTTTCTTAGAGAGTTTAACATTTCTTCAACTAACTTTCCTCCTTGAGTGTTAACTTTTGCTAATATATTTCCTGTGCAAACTACATCGGAATTGTGGGTGGTGGGTGGAATGCTCAGAGCGAGACAGCGCGATAGACAGAGTGAGAGAACGAACGAGACGGAGGATTGGCCAGTGTGTTGTGTGTGCGTGTTGCAATTCCTCAACATGGTTGAAGTGGTTATATTTTCGTCTGCACAGCAGAGAGAATAAATGTTCTTTTTTAATTTAAACTTTATTTTCCCCTATTGGCATTTTTCAATTCGCTTAAATGCCCAGCTGCGGTCAAAATAATAAGGTGCGCAGAGCTCCACACGACAAAACATAAGGTCAAGTTCAATAGGGTTTTTATGCCTAACTTGAATTACATTCCAAAGTTACTCAATTGAACTATTTATATATTAGCTCATTTAAAAAGTAAAAACTAATTTTAACAAATTCACAAAAAAAATTTGTTTAAGAAAGTCCCTAGCAGAATTGTATTGGTAAAACTCCTCTTGAGCCTTAACCCTTTAAATAAATTTGTAAAAATAATATTATAAATGGTACAATTTACATTTTATTAAATTTTTAAAATTCTAATGGCACTATAATTATTTTTCCCACAACTGTTCGCATGTATGAGTGTTGTGTGTCTTGTATTTTGTGTAGTATAATTATGTGAGTTTTTAAAAATGCTTGTGTGTGCTTGCCACTGATCCAACAACTTTGATGAGTTGTTTTTTATTCTTCTGTTTATGGTATGTCTGGCTGTCTGTGTTTTGGGTAACTGCAATTCGTTATATTTGTATATTTATATATATATATGCATGTATATATAGTTGTATATAAAAAGAGCATTTTGTTAATTTTAATGCCTAACGAGGGTTTCCTTCATTTACTTTATCCGTTTAAATGCAGTTATTGACCTGAACATTGTTTGTGGTTGCTGTCGATTATTTAATATTCCTTATGCTTTCTCTATAATAAGTATGTATGCATTTAATGTATGTTTATGTATATATGTTGCTTGTTTATTTTTTTGTTTGCTGAATTCTTTTTTAAAATAGTTGAACAACTTGGTATGGCTTTTTTTCGTTTTCATCTTTTCTTTTCTTATATTGCTTGAGTTAAGAACTTTTCCTTTTCATGTGGTTTGTTTCTTTAAAATGTAAAACTTTTAATTTATATTATGTTTTGTTTTGTAAAATTTTTCCGCTTAAGTTTTTTTCTTCCATGTTTCTTATTTGTGTTTTTGTTGTCTTGTGCTTTGTTGTTGCTGCTGGTTTTTCTTAGTTTTTTTTTTAGATTTCTGACGTCACAAAAATTTTACGTACGTGTTGCTGTGGTTGTTGTTGTTGGTTCTCGCAACGGATTCTCAAACAATAAAATAAGCCGGAATGAATCGCTAATGAAAAAAATCTATTTTAAATAAAAAAAACACACACACTCCTTATGAAATAAAAAGTTCGTTTAATGGCGAAAAAGCGAGAGACAAAGGCGAAACTAGATCCTCGAGAACTAAGAAATGTTCAAGAGCTCCTAGTAATCGTTCGCCAACTGTCTCTACTCGCTTTTCCTCCGATTTAGGTCATATTTTTTGGGGTCGAGGCTTAAAATCTGTGGTAAATAAATAGTTTTGTGCTTAGAACTAAATATTACTTAACTTAGGCTTTTAAAATATACACGTATTAATAATGGTCACAAAAAAAGTATTCGTTATGGTTGATTGTAGTTATGTACTATATATATAACAATAGGCAACAACACAGAGCAGAGAACTGATGTAGGGTTAAACATGGCTGTATGCACAGCAGCGGCTAAAATAATAGTGGCAAATATTGTAAACCAAAAGCAAAAACGGACTTTAAAGGCAATAACATTAAAAACCAAAAAAAAAAAGTAACCATTAGTCATTAAAATGAGGTTGTAAATATTGCTTGTCATAAAGTACTTATAAATAATGCCAAATGTCATATAGATTCTAAATTGTATAAATATTGCATTATAATTTCCAACCGAAAATACACTTATTGAAATGTAAAAAAAAAAGGTTGGGAATTATAAGGTACTATTATTTTAACCGCTACCCTTGATATTTCAGCACCTTTTAAGCAGCTTTTGCAGTTTTGAATCAATCAGAAGAGGTTGAATGTTTTACAATATATATATGTGTGTGTGTTCGTTTCTTTGTTGGTGTGCGTGTCCGCACATGTGTGACAGAGACAGTGCGCTGATAGACAGGGACAGAGATATACACGCGAATTAAGATAAACATAAAAACAGGCTGGGCTCTCCAAATTTTGCTGTGCACCTACGATGGTTCCGCTCCTTCCGCTCACATTTCCTATCTGCTTCCTCATTTTCCCGGGGGTTCACCTCCTTGTAATCGCTGTAGAATCCGCCACGTTCGCTTTTCATTTACCCCTCAACGCGTCCGCCGCCTGGAGCTGCCGTTTCTGGTGTCCTGGCGCGGATTGGACAATTCTTATGACGTCTCTAAAAATCATACCTTGAAGGTCTTCTCGCGTCGCTCCCGCTGTTGCTGCTGCTGCTGCTGGTCGCGCAGATGGTGATCCCGCTGGTGCTGGTGGCTGCTGCTCCGGTGGCCAGTGCCGTTGGCCGGCTGCAGCATGGAGCTCATGGAGCCGGCGCTGCAGAGCGCCGAGGAGTTGACCTCCTCGCAGACATAGCTGGCGATGCGATGATCGCTTCGCGACCGTTCGCGATCGTGGCTGCGATGGTGGTCCGGCGCAACAGCGACTCCTCCTCCTCCTCCTCCATTTCTTTTGCTAGGAGCCGCCTGCTGCTGGGACCTGCGGTTGCCCAAACGCTTTAGCTCGTAGTCCCTGGCATCGGCCACATCGAAGGTGGCTGCTCTTTGCTGGCTTTGCTTCGATGCATGCTTGGATCCAGAGCTCGAAGTTGCTCCTCCGTTTCCTCCAGTGTTTCCTCCTGCTCCCGCTTGCATCTCGTAGGCCTGCGGATAGTACTCGTCGTACTGGTGCTCCTCGCACAGATTGGCATTACAGGTGGGCTGCTGTTCCCGCTCCCTCTCTCGCTGGCGATGCTTTTTGGGTGGCAGGGGAACGGGCGCCTGGTTCTGCGATTGCGACTGCGGTTGTGACTGCGTCTGGTTTTGGTTGTGGCTCTGAGTTTGTGTGGCCACCGCCGCGTGCAGCGATGTGGATGAGGCGCCTCGGCGCACCACATCCACACCGCCGCCGCAGCAGGCGCACTCCTACAACTCCGTCACCGAGTACAGATCGCTGTGGTTGCTGATAGCAGCTCCGCCTCCGGTGGCTCCTCCGCTGCCAGCTGTTCCTCGTTCTCCTCGCTTCAAAGATCTATAGAACAAAGCCTGCTGTTGCTGTTGCTGCTGCTGTTGCTCCAGCACTAATTGTTGCTGCTGCTTCGAGGAGAAGTTGTTGTTGTGCTGTCTTTGGTAGAAGGCTAGTTGCTGCTGCTGCTGCTGGTGCTGTTGCTGATGGTAGCTGCTGTCGTAGGAATGCTGCTTCTTCATGTTGCTGCCGGTTATCAACTGACTTGGGTACTGTTGCTGCTGCTCTATGTAGCTGCGTGCATTATCCAACGTCTCCGCCCTCCGCGGACGCTCTCGCTCCCTTTCCCTTTCCCGGTCTTTATCTCGCTCCTGCTGCTGTTGCTGCTGTCTTAAGCTAGCCGACTTTGGGGGCAAGGTCTGCATGTGGTTGGCATTGCTGCTATCGACGGCGCCACCCCGGTGGCTGGCTTTGTGCCTGTTTTTGGGCGGCAGCGTTGGCGGTTGCTGCGGCGAGGAGACAGCCACCGGCTGCAATTTCTGCGTCTGGGGACGCTGCAACGAGCGGTACTGGCCCAAACTGGCGGCGCACAGCGGCTGAGCGGAGATCTTTGACTGTTGCTGATTGGTGGGAATCTCGGGCAGCGGTTGGTTCACTATGGAGGCGGGATTCAGCGAACGCTGCTGCACTCGAGGCGCGGCTGTGGGCAACACCTCGGTGCTCTCGATGCTGTAAACAGCCGAGGGGGGCAGTATGTGGGTGGTGGGTGGATGCAGCTCCCTTTGTTGCTGCTGCTGCTGCAATTCCCGCTCCCTCTGCTGCTGGAGGGCAAGCAACTGCTGTTGCTGCTGCTGCTGCAGGGCCAACAGCTGCTGCTGCTGCTGCTGCTCCTTGGCGTACGAGCTGCCCACACCCGTGGTGCCAGGAATTTCCGTAAACGTATTGACTATCTTTGGTTTGGGCGGAGGCGGAGGCGCAGGTTGCGGCGGAGCAGGAGGCACCATCTGCGATTGCTGCTGCAGCTGTTGGAGGTGCAGCTGTTGCTGCTGCTGGAGTTGCTGTTGCTGCTGCTGAAGTTGCTGTTGCTGCAATTGTTGCTGCTGCAATTGTTGCTGCTGGAGTTGCTGTTGCTGCTGCTGCTGCTGAAGGAGGAACTCCTGGGGAATACAGTCCGGCTGCTGGCAATAATCCTTGGAAACCGTGGCTATCGATGGTGTTTTGGCGCTCCTTAAGTTTGGCGAATGGACAGCGGGGGCGGCGGCCGGCGAGGGCGTGGCATTGACGGCGGACACACCTTTCAGCGAGCCACCGTAGCGACCCACATGCCGCAAAGTGGCACACTTGTTGCCGGCAGCGGACATTTTGTTAAGGTTATTACTCTGACCCCTCACCGCCTTGGGACCAATGCTAATATACTTGGGGTCGAAGCGATTGAAGCTGTTGTTGGTCACATCCCTGGGATCACGGTCGTCCACCAGGTCCCCGTCCAATCCGTTGCCCGTGGAGCGGCATATGCCAGCATTGGATGTCTGGGCAGAGAGGACCGACCGGATGGAACTGCCCGTGGAGCGGGGCAAGGTGGCCGATGCAAAGATGTTCTTCAGCGTGCTCTGACTCTGAATCTGGTTCTGATTGATGAGGCTGCTCTGCTGCTGCTGGAGTTGCAACTGCTGCTGCTGCTGCTGTGCTGTGTTGCTGCTACTGCCTGCATGGGAACTGCAGGCAAGCGAATCTCAGTAGAAGTCGTTCGACTCGAGCGTCTTACACTGCTTGCTGAGCGTCGCGTACTTTCCATTGTTGGGTCCTGGCAGATAAGACGCCGACTGCTGGTGGTGCGATGGCAGGCGGCCCAGGGTGTGGTGGCCTGACCTGGAAATCGATAAGCTTGGATTAGTTATGTGCCAATTTCAGCTGGGTTAAATGTGATTAGTTGGATTAAGTTAGCCTCTCTACCGGGTGAACCCATCGATAGGTTAGAAGTGATGTTAAGGACTTGAGCTTAAAAACTTGTATAGACATAAAAAAGCTTCAAATTCAAGTTTCAATCCAATTTCAGTAGTTTAGTATTTTAAAAGAAATCTTGGTCCTAAATTATTATTTCAGTGAGACTTATGTTTTGGTTCAACTGAGTCATTTTGGACAAGCTTTATAACAACAAAAACCTGAATTGTTATCTAATATTACAGCTTCCATTGGGACAAGTAAAAATGTTTGTTAATGTCAAATTAAATATATAGACTTCCCCATATATGTATAACTGAGGTCTTTTTGATATTATTTTGTTTTACGATAAGCGTATTTTCTCTCCATTTTCATTTGCATAGATTAGTAAGGCAGGTGTGGGCATGGTTTTAGTTTTTCGGTTAGAGTGATTCATCGCTTAGATATCTGTATGTTGGTGGGGTCTGTGCTAGTTGTCCTTGTGTTAATTTGTGGTGGGTGAGCTGGTATGTTCATGGTCGGTTTTTTCATGCATGTGCAGCACAACGAAAGGATCAACTAAGCAACTGATTAACTAAAACAAAAGCCAATCGAAAACAACAATGATAAACAAACATATCTAACAAAGTCCCAACTTAAATCGTAAACTAAAGAATATATAGCCGATCATTTCGACTATGAGAAACCCGCTACTCAGATAAATATATATTTGTAAGTCCTTAGAAGTCTTACAATGTCGAAAAACATATCTGACAATATCTTCAAAAAGTGGTATGTCGATTATAAATTTATAAAACTTTGTGTCATTCGTTTTGGCGTTCAAATAAAACAGATTTGTAATATGCTTAGACCGCTAATATGTTGACGTGCCAAATTTGGAAGTTCTAGTTTTTGTTGTTCATAAATACTAACAGATGATATCACGTATGTGCATTTAACGTTTGTTTTTTCTTAACGTTTTTTCTTTAGTCAAAATGTATTTTACGCCAAGTTTTCACAAAAACAGTAAAAACATAAATCTACAACTTAGTGTACAAACCACGTAAAAATTAAGTAAGCCAGATTTCAGACCAAATAAGTGAAATTGTATAATCGTGAGCAGCGAGATTCCAAAATATAAAAGGACTAACTCATAAGAAAATTGGATTCGGGATTCGGGTTTCTGGTTTCGGGCGTTTCTTTGGGAAATAAGCAAATCAAATCAAATCAAAGTTCATGCCTTGTGCCATGCACCAAATCGTAGCCGGGCGGCGGCGACGGCGATCGCTGAGCACTGCTGCTGGCCACGCCCACCGCCGCTGCCACCGCCCCCGCCGCGGAGTTAGTTCTATGCTGTGAGTTGTTGCTGTGGTTGTTGTAGTGGTGGTGGTTGCTGTACAGGTGGTTGTTGTGATGGTGTTGTTGGTGGCTGTTGTTGTAACCGGGGTTGCCGTTGTTGTGGTTGTAGTAAGTGGCAGTGGATGAGGTGTGGCTTGATTGAGATGAAGGTGATGCCAACCCTTGTCTCAGGCCCGCCGTTCCATTGCGATAGGGTCCCACGCCGTTGTGTCCATTGGCCCCAACGCCTCCTCCTGTTCCTCCGCCACCTCCGCCCCCGGATCCCGGCAAGGTGCCCGATCCGCCGCCCACTGCCGCCTGCTGGTGGTGCAGCAGCGTCCTGTTGATCGTTCCCGTGCTCAGCGGTGCGGTGGGCGAGATGCTGGCGCTCGGTGCATTCGAGGCGGGGAACAACGGCGCTGTCTCCGATTTGTCGGCGTCCACAGTTGGCCTTTAAGTATATATAGATAAACACAAAAGAATTAGCGAAAAGAAAAATTTCAAAAGGTTCTAATAGAGATGTATACAATGCGGCGTATTTCTGTGATATTATTTACTCATCAAAAATACCCAAACCAATTTAATATATATTGTACTTGCGAATATCAAATCAAATGATCCGTTTTTATTACAGCCTTGTATGAATCAATGCGTTTGTATCAATCTGTTTGTTTCGTTAATTCAATGATTCAATGTTTCAGTAATCCGAATATTATGAGTCAATAATTTTAAAACAATACATATTACGTCACCATGTTGGTAATTTCATAATGATAAAATATTATTTTCATGGACAGTGTGATATGTACAAAGAAGACCAGTCAATGAAAAAGAAGAGTGGGCTTCTTCTGAAGAACTTTGTGACTAGAATAGACCTAACAAAAACTCTCACACATCGTACCGCTTGGTCAGATAGATCCAGGCGTGCGAGTCAGCGTACACCAGGATCGTCAGCAAAAAGGAGGTAAGTAGGCCAGCCACCATCATCAGACTCAGTCCCAGTAGCCCGCCGCCGCAGAGTCCACGGAGTGCCTCCTCGTAGTGCCGGTCGATGGCCCTGCGGTCCAAAGTCGCCGATAGAGTCGTCAGGTTGCGCAGTGTGTTCTCCAGATCGGTGTCCATGGCGGTAAGCGTGCGTTTGATGTCGATGTGCGGATACGTGTCCTGGCTCATCCTGCGAAGCGAAGGCAATGAGGAAGGCATTTTTAATTTTGGAGTGCGAAAATTGTCGCCTTAACTCTTTTTTAGGAAAATACTTTAAGGAAAATACTGTTCCAAAGGTTGTAAGTAAGTTTAAAATCACGAACTCAAAATAAACTATGACAAACGTTTTAAATGCCAAGTTAGGAAGCGCCGAGAAACCTTTAAGAAAATGTGTGAGAATCTAAAATGATTTTTAGTTCTATAACCGCAACAAAAAACACAAACAATCGCAAATATTTAACATTTAAAAAGGGTTCCCTGCATATATACAAGTATGCATCTTTGTGTATATAAACAAAGTGTAATGTTCCATTCGGAATGTATTCTTTACCAAATCGAAGCATACATAGTTTCCACTATAAAAATAAATGGTTTGACTTTGTTCCACGAGTTCGCGTAAATAGACTCTTTAAATAAACTTTTGGCCAGCTATTTTCCTCATTGATTTCTATTTCCGCTAAAGTATTGCACTGCAATCCATCATTCAAGCGTCTACTCACCGCTGCATCTGCTCCACACTTTCCCTGGCACGATCCACAAGATCGCGGGATTCATTCAGGCGCAGAATAAACCGGTTGCGCGGAGTGCCGCAATTTAGGAAATCAACATAGGGACTCCGCTGTGGATTGGGAACGGGAGAAAGGGAAATAGTACATTTTGCGAGGTTACATCTTGAAGACACCACTCACCATTCCCACCTGACGGCACATGTAGTCGTGCGGTCGCATACAGAAGTCCCCGGCAGCCACACTGGATGCCAGGTAGACAGCCGCCAACAGCCAGCAGATAATGATGCAGAACAGACCAGAAACGCTGAAGAAGATCAATGTGCAGCGGGATCGCCTGGCCACGCCAATCACCAAAACCGTGCACAGCAGCAGGAGGACAGTGAGGAAGGCCAAAGTAGCTGGCCAACGAATGGATTCGTAGTATTCACCACGCTGGTAGAGATTGGCGGTTAGTTATGGGTATTTACGAGGACACTGAGATGACCTCAACTCACCTGCAGCAGTCCCATTAGTGAGGTATCGTTCTCACTGCCCTTGGCCTTCATAAAGTAGTGCACCATGCTATCCAGCGAGGCCACCGCCCGCGAGGTGTTCTCCGTCACCAGGCGTGTCGTCTCCATGAGCATCATGACCACCGTCTGGTTGTACTGCGGCTTCTCCACCAGTCGTTCCACCTTGTGTCCGGCCATCCGCGTTTCCAAATCGTGCTTTATGCTCTCAGTCTGAGAATTAGAAAATGCGAATTAGCTCAATCCTGGAGAATATACAATCTTGTCAATTATAGTTGGATTCAATAGTCTTAAAGTTTCCTTTCAGGTACCACTTTCTAAATAAAATTAGTAGGTATAAATGAAACTTAAACTTAATAATTGATTCTTAGCATAGTTAGAGCCAAGAGCATTATAGTAGTAGATGGAGAACATTAATTAGTAGAACATTAATTAATGCAACTGCTTTGGTCCTTCTTGTTCAGCTGTAAACTAAACAGTTCTTAACAAACCATTAACTAGAAAGCGCATTACTATTTAAATAGATATGCAGCGCAAAAATAATCGAGTAGATAGAGATAATGTTAATAGGTTTTATTTAAATGTTAAGATTAATATTTGATTTACAAATGCAACTCGAGCTGAACCCCCAAAAAGGTGTAAGCAGTTCAAAAGTTAATGACCAAAAACAGGAGGATTGGGGTGAAAAAAGCCCCTTATACCTTACACGACGCCCTTTTTTTACAGTCTTGCTCTTTGCCCCCTCAGTCTAGAACAAAGCAGGGCTAAGGAAAAAGGAAAAATAGTTTCTATCGTAATACTTTTGCTTCCGCACTTGGTTTGGGCTTGGATCTGGTTTGTGGGTGGGGGTTGTGGGGTTGTGGGCTTGTGGGGTTGCCTCTCGGGTTCAAGGGATTGCTTCACACACGCACGTCGCCAGGCACAACCCCTCCTTCGTTTGTGCCAGGGATAATTAATAGCGTTTTACTCAAGAGTCGAGCAATGCCAGCCATCTGTTTGGCTCTCTTTCTCTAGTCGACGTCTACCTTTGAAGCTGCTGGCCGACTCACCCCCCTCCACTGTTCACCCGCTAACCTCTTGCCTTATCGGCTCTTTTGCCTCGCCCCCCCTCTCTCTGTCACTTCCTCTGTCTGTGTGTGCTAACAAAGTTTATGAATAGCAAAAGCTTTGGCCAGGAGGACACTTCCCCTAGTCCGTAGTCCCTATTCCACCTTCTAGTCAGCCCCATTACACACCCACCCCTCCTCACCTCCCCCCTCCCACGGGGCCACGTAACTGTCAACACAGCAGCCAGCTTTTAGGTTGATTATAATGAACAAGAAGGAGCCAAACGGGGGGCTGCTGCGAATGGAATGGGAATATGGCCTGAATGGGAATAGTAGAAGTTTATGAAAGCCAAGAACTAGGCAAGGTTTTAGTTCAGCGGAAACGGTAGAGGGGCACTGGGTAACTAAGCTTAGTTAAAGATCCCACTTCAGACTTCATTTGCGTACCGAGAAAGATTAAGAGCCTCTCATAAGAAAACTCTTCTTCACCGATCTGACTAGACCTGATAATCAAATTATCATCACGTTTGTGAAAATAAACAAAAATAACAATAGCCCCTAGTTAAATTTCTTAACCCTATATAATTAATAAGAGGCGTAACAGGCATACAACTAATCCGGACCACTCAACGATTCATGTAAGGCGCAATTTTTGTCAAAATGAACTCAACTTACCTGTCGTTGCAATGTGAACACCAGACCCTCGACGTTCTTCCCGGATCCAAAGGCCTGCAGCAGGCCATTGTGGAAGTCATCGTTACCGTACAAGCCTGCCGATGGAGCAAAATTAGAAAGTCAGAAATCAGTGCGAAAAGTATCAGACAGAGATTATAAAAAGGTTAGGATAGATATGTGGCCAAGTACGAGGGACATAAGGGGACATAACCATTTAAAAATAGTGAGCAAGTTTGCCTGAGAGATTGGAACACCAATTTCAGAGATCAGCGAGATATTAAAGATCAGGGCAAGATCATCGCGGACGGGTCAGTGATGTAACGCGAGCCGCGACACACATTTCGCAGTTTTGATTCAATTAAGCTCACAGAAGCTCTGCTGCTAATTAAATTATTATTTCGTCGCTTGTGTCGCCGCCAAGCCACTTCCATCGCCGCCGTCGGATGACGCATGGTCCTCTGGTTTTGGCTCCACTTCTTTGCCGTGACTTTGCATACGTGACCAGCCGCTGTGCTACGCTCCATTGGCGATAAGTCGCGTTTTGGCTAATTGCCAATTGCCCACCGAAAACCGACGGCCGGCGGCCAACACGCGATGCAACCGCAAAGGGATTTATACGTGCTCTGGCAAATGCAACTAGACTGCAGCGGTTCAACGCACTTTTCCATGGCCATTCCGGGAACAGGACTCGGACTCGGACTGGGACTCGGACTCGGACTCACCCAATCCGATGGCCGCACAGGTCATCAGTGTGATGATGACCAGCGAGCAGCTCTGGCAGCGTTGAGCGCTCGGCTTCCGCTGGCGTCGGTCACAGCAGCGGGTCAGCAGGTAGAGCAGCAGGCCCAGGAGCGAGACGATCAGCAGGCCGGCGGGAATGCATGCCAGGATGCCCAGACTCTGTAAAATAATAAGTAATACAAGACTTTAATCAGAAGAGCCAGAAAAGACATTTGCAATAGCTTAAAGGTGTACATGTAAAACCATTTATTTATATTTCATATATACACTCTCAATGAGAACTTCTGCATCGCAATGGAGTCAAAATACTACAAAACCTATCATCATATTTCTTAACTGGACGTAAATTGATATCTTCGTGAACATTTATGTGGGGCTTAAAATGCACAGACAGTCATGGCTAGATCGGCTCTCCACATAAAAAATATATATACTCTATAAGGTAAACTTTTATTGAAATAATAATACACTCTGCCAAGGTATAAAAATCATTGCGATCAGAGCAATATACAGGGTTGGCTCGATTGACCTAACATACATTTATTTCCGCGTGACAATATTGAAATGGGAATTAACATTGCACCAGAATTAATTGTTTCAATTTTAATTAAAATTTATTTGATTGATATTGACATTGATTTGTCGATTGTGAGAACATGGGACCAAATTCATTTAATTATTTGAATTGTTTACCTATTATAAAAAGGTGAACTTTAGCAAATAAAACAAGAAAGGAAGCAAACTTCGGCAAGTCGAAGTTTATCTACCCTCAAATATAGAAATTCAAACCAAAAGGCTTAAGTATGCCACTTGGAAATCGGATTAAATTTGGTAAAGTTTTGGACTCTACAAGTCCAATTCTGGGTTACATTACTACAAGTCATCGGAAACTCTAAAATAACTAACATGGAAATGCGTCAAAAACTTGATCAACGCTAATTGACAAATTTGAATGCAGATTTCTGGAGAATTAATCCACAAGTCCTACGAGGTATGCCACTTGGAAATCGGATTAAATTTGGTCAAGTTATGAACTCTGTAAGTCCGATTGTGGGTCAACTTTTTACAACTCCTCGGAAACTCGCAGATAACTAACATGAAAATTGGTCAAAAAGTTGATCAGCGCTAAATTAAAAATTTTGAATGCAGATTTTTAGAGAATCGAATCACAAGTCTTTAGAGGTATGCCACTTTGAAATCGGATTAAATTTGGTAAAGTTATGGAACCTAGAAGTGCAATTGTGGGTCAACTTTGAGCAACTCATCGGAAACTTAGAAATAACCAACATGAAAATGGGTCAAAAAGTTGATCAACGCTAAAATGAAAATCTTGAATGCAGATTTTTAGAGAATCAATCCACAAGTCTTAAGAGGTATGCCACTTTGAAATCGGATTAAATTTGATAAAGTTATGAACTCTGGAAGTCCAATTTTGTGTCACTCTATTACAACACATAGGAAAATTAGAAATAACCAACATGAAAATGGGTCAAAATATTGATAAGCGCTAAATTAAAAATTTTGAATGCAGATTTTTAGAGAATCGAATCACAAGTCTTTAGAGGTATGCCACTTTGAAATCGGATTAAATTTGGTAAAGTTATGGAACCTAGAAGTCCAATTGTGGGTCAACTTTGAGCAACTCATCGGAAACTTAGAAATAACCAACATGAAAATGGGTCAAAAAGTTGATCAACGCTAAAATGAAAATCTTGAATGCAGATTTTTAGAGAATCAATCCACAAGTCTTAAGAGGTATGCCACTTTGAAATCGGATTAAATTTGATAAAGTTATGAACTCTGGAAGTCCAATTTTGGGTCACTCTATTACAACACATAGGAAAATTAGAAATAACCAACATGAAAATGGGTCAAAATATTGATAAGCGCTAAATTAAAAATTTTGAATGCAGATTTTTAGAGAATCGAATCACAAGTCTTTAGAGGTATGCCACTTTGAAATCGGATTAAATTTGGTAAAGTTATGGAACCTAGAAGTCCAATTGTGGGTCAACTTTGAGCAACTCATCGGAAACTTAGAAATAACCAACATGAAAATGGGTCAAAAAGTTGATCAACGCTAAAATGAAAATTTTGAATGCAGATTTTTATAGAATCCAAATACAAGTCTTTAGAGGTATGCCACTTTGAAATCGGATTAAATTTGGTGAAGTTATGGAACCTAGAAGTCCAGTTGTGGGTCAACTTTGAGCAACTCATCGGAAACTTAGAAATAACCAACATGAAAATGGGTCAAAAAGTCGGTCAACGCTAAAATGAAAATTTTGAATGCAGATTTTTAGAGAATCAATCCACAAGTCTTAAGAGGTATGCCACTTTTAAATCTGATTAAATTTGGTAAAGTTATGGACTCTACAAGTCCAATTGTGGGTAACATTACTACAAGTCATCGGAAACTTTAATAATTAAGAATCAAGCCACAAGAATTAAGAAGTATGCCACTTTTAAATCGATAAAGTTATAAAGTTATAACAGACTAGATCGGTTTGCCGGGTGATGCTGATCGAGAACTTTAAAGGGGCGGATATGTGCTCTTTACAGCGTTGCAAACTTTCGAAATTATAATACCATCTGGAAGGTTATAATTATATATGCGAGGAGTTGGTATCTTGACATCATCGCCTTTTGGTAGAAAGTTTTGTAGCTTTAAATACAAATCTGTTTCAGTGGACATGCTGGACATTGGAAAAACTTTTAATTGAATAACTTGCAACCCGATGCCTTTGTTGTTGGCACTGAAATTTGTTGTTAGTTGGCTTCATTGCAGAGTGTCCTTTGTAAAGTTAATTTCTGTTTTCCGCCTCCGTGTCCAAAATTGAATTCAATTGGCCAAGGAGAACGGGTGGAAGGACGCACGATACAGGACACAGGACCTTACAAACTTTTGCACCGACGGTAATTTCATTGCCTGTCATTAAAAAAACACGTTATATACAGTGAGCTTCGAATTACCAGTAAGGTTATTGGATATTCCTGGATATATGACGTGGAGATGGACATAGAACCCCCACTCGACACACTCAATTCGAATAAATGGCAAATGAGTCAGACCACTTGAGAAGTCCATTCCAGTCGAGTCAAGTTGAGTCGAGTTCAGATTTCAGACTTCATTCAGTGGCTAAATGGGAATACTTCAGGAGGCTCTAGTGGGGCGATAAAAATAAAAGAGCAAATGCACAAATCGCATTCAAAGACTCCAAGTAGTTTTAATTTAGTGCAAGATGTTAGTAACGCATTCAGTTTTTTCCCTACGCCTTTCTTTTACTTTATTTTTAGTAGTCTTAATATTTTTTCTAAGGGTTTTTCTTTTATCGTCAGAAAACAAGTTAAGAATTTAAATATAATATTTAGTTTCAAACTGACACCTAATAAGCAAATTAAAGCTCCCCTTCCTTTCAACAGCCATTCCAAATTCGTCCTTTACCCGTTTCCCAAAAGAAAGAAGAATAATCAATGAAACCATCACATAACACCCATAATTGAACTAGTTCAAGGCAATTTGCAGCAATTCCCCGCTGTCAATCAGCGTTCAATCGGATTCGGAATTGGAATCGACGCCGGACATGGCACATCCTCTTAGGAACGTCCCCTCTCCCCACGTCACCTCTCCTCGGGCTCGTATTTATTATTTATTGCACTTGTGCCATGTAAATAATCATTAAAACTAGTTACAGTTGCTGTCGTTGTTGCAGTCTTTGTGCCTCGGCACATTTACGAGTCCTCGCAGTTGAATGACACTTCAGAAATGGCATCACCACCACCCTGTTTTGCATCTCCTTTCTCTTTCATTACACGTAGGAACAAGAAAGGAAGCAAACTTCGGCAAGCCAAAGTTTATATACCCTTGCAGTTATTACAAAACAATTAGCTCAAAGAAGTTTGGTCGACTTAAATCGAATTTTTGAAATTTGAATAGCTTAATCATTGGCCCATTTTAGCCCTTTTTTTTTTTGCATGCCTTTAGTTTTAAAAATATGGACTTTTTGAAAATTCTTGAACTTTTTCGAAAAAATTCAAGTTGACTTTTTCCAATTTTTTTTAACGTATTTGCCTGCAAATATGACCATGTTTGCCCATCTCCTAACAAGTAAGAATAAAAAAAAATCGTTTGCCCACCGCTTAAAACAGGCATTTTTAACATAAACTGGGGGCAAACCTATTTTTGTAAAGAATGCTATTTTAAAAGACTTTTGCTGATCCAAGCGCGCAGAATCTATAAAATTATTTTATTTTACTGGAATTACTTGTTATCCAATTTGATTGTAGTTTGACATAAAAATTAACCATATGGTTTCTTTTCGCTTCCATAAAAAATTAGAGATTAAATTTATGGAATATTTGGGCAGAATAAGTTTTGTTTAGCCAACATCTGGTTTATTTGTATGTCAAATTAAAATCATGATAAGAAATCTATACGAACATGGCGCGGTTTTTATAAAAGCGAAAAAGAAACCATAACAAACCATAATTGATAAGAAGCGATTTACAAACACTAAAGTTATGGCATTTCCGATCAATCAGTTATATGGCGGCAATAGGATATAGTCGACCGATCCTTATGAAATTTGGTATGTCGGATTCATTGGCCAAATATAAAACCCATAAAAAAAACCAACTTCCTTACTTTAAAAACACCAAAGTTATGGCATTTCCGATCGTTCAGTTATATGGCAGCTATATGATATAGTCGCCCGATCCGGCTCGTTCCGACTTATATACTACCTGCAATAGAAAGACAACTTTTGGGAAAGTTTCAAGCAGATAGCTTTTAAACTGAGGGACTAGTTTGCGTAGAAACGGACGGACGGACGGACGGACGGACGGACGGACGGACAGACGGACAGACGGACGGACAGACGGACATGGCTAAATCGACTCTCATGGTGATGCTGATCAAGAATATATATACTTTATAGGGTCGGAAATGTCTTCTTCACTGCGTTGCAAACTTTTGACTGAAATTATAATACCCTCTGCAAGGGTATAAAAATATGGCCAACAATTGCCTATTAATAAATAATACACCAGAAGTCTTGCAGCATGAACAAATGTGAACCTTCGAATTCCACTCTACCAACTGAAATGTGAATTGTTATAAACTATTCTTATTAATATGAAGTAATATACCTTTTCTTTCT